TTCATAATAAACAAATTAAATAATATTAGAAGGCTGTCACATATAATATATTTGTATAGTTTTTGTATTTTGGATTTCACATGTCTCTTTAAATATTAAAAAGGAAATTTGTTTAAAATGCTAGTATATTTATATATTTTTTTATATTTAGCTTATTGGAGTCGATCAATGAATGAAAAATATTGTAGGTACAGCTTAATTTAAAACTTATCTCCGTTGAGATGAAACATGAAATGTATAAATGAATAGTAAAAATAATTATTAATCTAGTGTAATATCGCGCTTTGAAAATATCAAACTATTTCTAAAATATGCCTTATTTTTTTTTTTATTCATAACATTACCATATTGATATTAATTTTTATACTCAATTTTCGTATGTACCTGAAGGTGCTGATAGCACAACCAAAACCGCTGTCGATAAAATCAAATAAATGCCTATGCAGTTCATATTTATGATATTAAAGATTAAAGATTATCACCAATGGACTTGATCGCAATACTATACTAAGGCCACTGAGAGAACGCTACTCCTTGGCGCATCCAAATGAACGAGCTCCGCGGTTTCGAGCCTATATTTCTCCCACTCTTCTACTTACTCGCCGCCGTAAATTCCCCTACTCACTACGCGGCGACCGTCGGCTATTCCACGGCCGCCACCACCGAGAAGTTGTATACAGTAGCATATACAATTACAATTGTAATTTGTGTAATTTTAGGTGAAATAAAAGTTATTATTTCTACGATATATTTGTATTGACTTCGTTACTTCCCGACATACTTGTAGAACGATTTTAAATTTTGACGTGTATAACTAAGCTAGAATTCTAAATTTACTTCTGAAACTTCGTAAATACATTTTTTTAGTCCTATACAATAATTTACATGGTGTTAAAGCGCTTGGAAATGTGTTAAGCTAAACATTATACTGGACTTATACTACTTTATAAGTATTATTATGCTATACACATTACAATATACTATTGTATATTATGTTTTTTTTTTAATTTCTAATTAAGTATTTTTATTATTTCTAATCTTCTAAACCATAGCACGAAATAAATTATAAATTATTGGTAAATAAAACTTATTTTAGTTAAGAAATGCGTTATGCAGGACTTGTAAATTCGTTAATAACTGTAAAATATAAGTAGTGGTTATTTTCATAAAGTAATATTGTTTTGTTAAATAAGAGACTAATAGAAACAAATACATGTAACATTGTGGTCACACTTTTAATGGAAGATAACCTTTGATAGATATTTTTGTTGATTCATAGTTCCTAATTTTATAAGTATTATTTTCTCATAGTCGGTAATTAGTATTTTTCTGATTTGGGTTTCACTCGCAATATTGTTTTTGCACTTTTCTCAATTTTCAATAATCCTAAACACATTTTTTTATCGATGCGTTGGTTAATATTAAAAATGTATTCTTCTGGCAATAAACACACCAAAGTGTTTTCATGCGTTTTGCCTGTTGTTGTCGTAGATGGAACGGTTTTTTATTTGTACAAATGCTTCAACTACCAAAATATTTCAAAAAAAAAAAATGTGTATTATTATAATACTATGCATATTATTTTCAAGTCTCTATAGACATTTTTTATAGACTACCGATGAATTTGTTACGTTGAATATCCAACATTTGTACCCGTATATTGTATAATATTAATAAATTCTTCATGTTTTTAAGATATCTCTTCCACCACCACCAAACGGTTTAAAACAAATATCCTTCACAGTATAATGTCAATAGTAACACCATTAATAATGTCAGTGTCTATACATATCAGGCTTTTTTCCGTGCCCTGAATTTTCGTTGTATGAAATGCGCCGATACGAAATACGAAAAACAACAATTTTTGTAAATTGTTATTCAATTTTTAGCATTTTATTTTTCTTATTTTCGTATCAAAGTGAATACGTAGTAATTATATTATGAATAATAGCACATATAAAAACACATTATCATCTATAACCAACCACATCTTATTGGCATTATAAACCCAGAAAATATAATTCGCTATTATTATACTCATTAACTTTTTTTTTTTTTTATAGACTACCGATGAATTTGTTACGTTGAATATCCAACATTTGTACCCGTATATTGTATAATATTAATAAATTCTTCATGTTTTTAAGATATCTCTTCCACCACCACCAAACGGTTTAAAACAAATATCCTTCACAGTATAATGTCAATAGTAACACCATTAATAATGTCAGTGTCTATACATATCAGGCTTTTTTCCGTGCCCTGAATTTTCGTTGTATGAAATGCGCCCATACGAAATACGAAAAACAACAATTTTTGTAAATTGTTATTCAATTTTTAGCATTTTATTTTTCTTATTTTCGTATCAAAGTGAATACGTAGTAATTATATTATGAATAATAGCACATATAAAAACACATTATCATCTATAACCAACCACATCTTATTGGCATTATAAACCCAGAAAATATAATTCGCTATTATTATACTCATTAACTTTTTTTTTTTTTATAGACTACCGATGAATTTGTTACGTTGAATATCCAACATTTGTACCCGTATATTGTATAATATTAATAAATTCTTCATGTTTTTAAGATATCTCTTCCACCACCACCAAACGGTTTAAAACAAATATCCTTCACAGTATAATGTCAATAGTAACACCATTAATAATGTCAGTGTCTATACATATCAGGCTTTTTTCCGTGCCCTGAATTTTCGTTGTATGAAATGCGCCGATACGAAATACGAAAAACAACAATTTTTGTAAATTGTTATTCAATTTTTAGCATTTTATTTTTCTTATTTTCGTATCAAAGTGAATACGTAGTAATTATATTATGAATAATAGCACATATAAAAACACATTATCATCTATAACCAACCACATCTTATTGGCATTATAAACCCAGAAAATATAATTCGCTATTATTATACTCATTAACTTTTTTTTTTTTTTATAGACTACCGATGAATTTGTTACGTTGAATATCCAACATTTGTACCCGTATATTGTATAATATTAATAAATTCTTCATGTTTTTAAGATATCTCTTCCACCACCACCAAACGGTTTAAAACAAATATCCTTCACAGTATAATGTCAATAGTAACACCATTAATAATGTCAGTGTCTATACATATCAGGCTTTTTTCCGTGCCCTGAATTTTCGTTGTATGAAATGCGCCGATACGAAATACGAAAAACAACAATTTTTGTAAATTGTTATTCAATTTTTAGCATTTTATTTTTCTTATTTTCGTATCAAAGTGAATACGTAGTAATTATATTATGAATAATAGCACATATAAAAACACATTATCATCTATAACCAACCACATCTTATTGGCATTATAAACCCAGAAAATATAATTCGCCATTATTATACTCATTAACTCCCCTAAATTTCACACCTAAATATTTTTGTTACAATTAAGTTAGGTTTTTTTATAAATAACCACATAAAAGACGTAAACATTTTTAATAAAATAATGTAGAAAATTTCATCAACAACCTTTAATTTTAAAATTCAGTTTGTTTTAACCCTTTCGTTCCTAACATCCTCGTACGAACTTTAAAAAATCGAATAAAATATTAACAATGTATTATCAACGTTTTAAATACAAGTTCTTGTATAGATTGATGATAAAAAAATCGACACAGCTATATTAATAATCAATATTAGTCCGATATTATGGTTTGTTTAGCATCATAGGTTTTCCTTATTTTCACAAATTTACAACGTCATCATTATGGAAATTTTTTTAATATAGTTATATATTTTTTTATAACCAGTAAAAGACTTTTTTTGTAATTTGTGTAATTTTAGGTGAAATAAAAGTTATTATTTCTACGATATATTTATATTGACTTCGTTACTTCCCGACATACTTGTAGAACGATTTTAAATTTTGACGTGTATAACTAAGCTAGAATTCTAAATTTACTTCTGAAACTTCGTAAATACATTTTTTTAGTCCTATACAATAATTTACATGGTGTTAAAGCGCTTGGAAATGTGTTAAGCTAAACATTATACTGGACTTATACTACTTTATAAGTATTATTATGCTATACACATTACAATATACTATTGTATATTATGTTTTTTTTTTAATTTCTAATTAAGTATTTTTATTATTTCTAATCTTCTAAACCATAGCACGAAATAAATTATAAATTATTGGTAAATAAAACTTATTTTAGTTAAGAAATGCGTTATGCAGGACTTGTAAATTCGTTAATAACTGTAAAATATAAGTAGTGGTTATTTTCATAAAGTAATATTGTTTTGTTAAATAAGAGACTAATAGAAACAAATACATGTAACATTGTGGTCACACTTTTAATGGAAGATAACCTTTGATAGATATTTTTGTTGATTCATAGTTCCTAATTTTATAAGTATTATTTTCTCATAGTCGGTAATTAGTATTTTTCTGATTTGGGTTTCACTCGCAATATTGTTTTTGCACTTTTCTCAATTTTCAATAATCCTAAACACATTTTTTTATCGATGCGTTGGTTAATATTAAAAATGTATTCTTCTGGCAATAAACACACCAAAGTGTTTTCATGCGTTTTGCCTGTTGTTGTCGTAGATGGAACGGTTTTTTATTTGTACAAATGCTTCAACTACCAAAATATTTCAAAAAAAAAAAATGTGTATTATTATAATACTATGCATATTATTTTCAAGTCTCTATAGACATTTTTATCGATAAAAACCTTTTTCTGTTAGATTAAAATATGTAACAAAAAATTATTGGAAATTAAAAATAATTTTTAAAATCAAAATTCACGTGAAATTATTTTATAATACCTAACTGTCAAACAAAAGTTCAAAAAAAATATTTATTAAAACTTTTCGAAATTAGAAGTTTTTTCCATTTTTTTATCTAAATACAACCTCGTGCACCAAACATACATCTCGACCGACTTAAATGTTTGAAATTATATTTTATTAGGACAATTTATTAAAAGAAACACATATCGCTATTGTTGTAATTTGTTTTATTTAGATAACACTATAAATATTAATAATGCAGCATACTATTTTATATTATTATTATTTATTCCATCTAATACCGTATGAAATGTATGTATTATATTTTTTATTTCATGACTTCGGCTTATTGTCAAATGAACCAAATACATATTTTATACAATAATAAACGGAAATAGCTTTTGCAATTTTCAGTAGGTACTTAGTATGTAATAATCAAGTGTGTACCGACTAAGAACAATATAATATTAACAAATTGAAAATATTAGGCCAATCTAGCTCCCTTTTCGACAATTGCAAGTTGATGGAACGTCGATCCAAGGTAGCCTGTACTTTCAGGTGTGTTCGATTGGAAGAAAACGTATAGTCTAAAACACAAGTTTTACAATAATATCATGTTAACTATTTTATAAAATACAATTATTAGCTTTCGATTAAAGTAACTTAGCCTGTCTCCCTTCTGAAATTAAATAATCTCAACACTTAAATCCTGATATTGCGCTTAAGAAATAAAAAAACCAAAAAATCTTATTCCGCTTTTGGGGAAGGGTTGATGAAATTTTGATCTGAGAGTATTTTCTAAAAGCGACACACCTCACAAATGTTTGGATATATATTTTTATTTGTCACAACGGTATAGTTATGTATTAGGTGAATCTATAGTAACAATATTAGCTTATAGGTCATACTCGTACAATAATTGTGCCTAACTAACAACCTTGGGGAGATGATAAAATGTGTTTAATGCTATTGTGCAAACTACAAACACAAAGAGCCGTGAACTTCTTAGGGCTTGAACTATCAGTTCTAAAATGGTGTACCGCACTTACTTATATGTATAATATAAAACATTTGGTAAAAGTTTGGTAATGGAGACTTACTTTTACCGTAAGAACTTGAATAAAAATATGTTATGCGTAGTTGTAAAATGGAAAATTTTAAAAATTCAAACAGTTACTAGTAAAAATGTATCTCCTTTACCAAACTTTTACCAAATATTCTATGTATATACAAGTAATAAGTGCTGTATACATTCCAGAATGTTTAGTTCAAGCCCTAAGAAGCTCAAGGGTCTTAAATGTTTTCATTTTTTGTACAATGCAAAACTTTGAAGTTACTATTATACATCATAAAAAAAATGGCAAAAAACAAAATTATGAAAAAAAGTACCTATAGTTTGATGTCAGAATTAAAAAAAAAAATTGTCGTTACTTTGACCTTGAGTTAATATACAAATTCATGACATTTATACAATTTTGAATTAGTTTTTCATTTTTAACTTATTAATAATTAAAAAAAATTCATGTTATACAGTATGTGTTTTACTATTGTTTACAATACAATTTTATTAAGAAAAGCGACAGCACTTTAGACCTTATCGGGTTAATCCTAATACTTTTTTCTTTGGAAAATTGAGCTCGGTTATAATTACCTATTTTTTGGTATTCCAACAGTTTCGTGAACGTAATCTGTGATGGCGGCAATATGTTTTTTATTTTCTTCTGGCCCTAAGCTACCAATACTTGTGACTTGAACAATTCCACATGGCTCGCTGGATGCACCAAAAGTCATTTTCAAACCACTATTCACAAGCGTTATACAAAACTGAAAAACAATGTATATTTATAATATTACATTGAAATAATTTTTTTTAATGATTCATTGCAAATTGAAATGCGGTTTGAGATTATTTTACTGTCTGTAGTATAGTATAATGTCGGTGTCCCAAACACCTGTGGGGCTTTTTCCAAAAAATTCTCTGAAATTAAGTGTTCTTAGTTAGGTAGGTATAAGTTCTCAGAAATAAAAATTCCATCAGAACAGAAATTTAAAAGTGCTCAGCAAAACGTTGACACACTTATGTAATTTAAACTTATTAGTTATTTAGTATATTTTATAAATGTGTATTGGCAATATTACTATGAATGATTTGTCCTGATCAATATTTTGTATTAAAAATACAATTTACTACGAATTTAGGGTTTTATTATAATTAATAACTAGAAACTAGTTCTGAACTTATTTTTGTCATCAACAACTTTTTAAAGATCTAATACCTACACATTTTGGTCGTTTTCAATAAATGTCAAATAGGAAATCTTATTTTTTTAAAAGATCAAGAAATTTGTTATAAAAATAAAAGTCATTTCAAAAATTTGTCGGTCTCGGAATGTTATTTATATATTTACACTATCATTTAAATTTAGTACAGTTCCATTTTAATTGTATTTTGAGCCAATTAACGTTTAAATTATTGGGTTTAACTTATTTCTAAAATTAATTTTATTATTTCCGTAGGTACTCACTTTGGGTCCTTTGCCAAGTGTATTAGACAGCACTTTCAAAGCTCCGCTTAAGAAATCATCAGGTATTTTTGATGAGGGTAAGTTTGTGTCCAAACTTAAACGAGGCATTTTAAGATTTTTTTGATTATTTTAAACTGAACAAAAATTAAATCGAAATGATCAAGTATAGCGACCGTTCACGTTCTATAACACATTAATACTTGTTCGGTTACATAATTCGGTATTATAATTTTTTTTCGAGTATAGATATTTAATTTTTTTAACAGTAAGTTATTGGATATCGTTATAATTATTAAAAAAACTGCGTATAAATATAACGTTAATAACTGTTAATCTTGATTTTTTTTTTTGCAAATCGTTACATAATATTTTGTCTGTCGCACTGACCAAACTCATAGGGCACACACACATTTAATGAATTATGTAAGATATAACTATAATAATTTAACAACCTATGTTATTTGTGGCCATTCGACTTTCAACACTATAGTAAGGCAAGCACCTACATATACACTCATTCCAATTGATTGTTAACTCCAAGTACACAAAAAAAAATGCCAACCTTAAGTCTAATCACAAACGTACCCAAGTACAAAGTACCGGCAAGTTTCTTGTCTGACGCGTCCAAGTTGGTCAGTGAGATTTTAAAAACTCCAGAATCGGTAAGTTTCTTCAACTTGTATTAAAGTTGCAGCCATGTGTAATTCATATAGATTAGGTACCTATACTTAAATTAACATTGGATTTTTTTTTTCAAAAATGTTTATTAAATAAATATTTAACAATTGAAATATTTACCCACAACGACTAGACTAAGACATATTATTAAATTAAGTAAAAAATTAAAAAATATTATTTTTTCAAAAAAAAGAACAGTATAAAACACAGTTTAGATCTTAACGCGTTTTAATTTTTTTTTCTAAAAATTGTGTTTTGTACATTCATATGTTGTTTCACGTTGCCAGTAATAGGTAGTTATTTTTATGTATTTCTTTTTTAATATAAATTTATCGATTTTTAATAATTAATGTCAACTAAAAATAAGTCTTTTTTTTTAGCTTTATTTATTTCAATTTTTGATGTTGATTTTTTTTTTTAGGAAATTTCTGTTAAAATAAAAACTGGAGATCCAATGTATTGGCATAACAACTATTCTTACTGTGGAATTGGTAGTTTGGCCGGAGTAGGCATTTATGGATTCGAAGAAAATAAGAACAACTCCTTTTCTATTTACAATTTTATTGAAAAACAACTTGGCATTCCACAAAACAGGTAATTGTTCTAACTAAACGAATTATACATAATATTGTGATGATATTTTTCTATAAAGTTAAATAGTATATAATAGTATCTAAAAAAACCAGTACAGTGGGGTCGGGGCATAGTGGGGATGGAGCTTAGTTGGGTCGGGGCGAAGTGGTGGCGGGGAGGTCACAGGTTTACAGGAATTTTTAATTCTGAAAGTGATAAAATCACTTTCGAAAAAACGCTTCGATGCAAATCGGTAGTTAGTATTTTCAAGCCAGTACAGTCCAAACCAAGCACAGTATAAACCAGCATAGTTAGAAAGTTTTAAATGAAGGTTTTGTATTTACAAATGAGCATCAAAGCGTTTATTTGAAAGCGATTTTATCCGAGAGGACTAGTACAGTAGAGTATTGGCATAATGTAATCAAAGCAATGAGGAAACGGAGATAAAACCCAAGTAATAGACCCTATGCATTAATCATACGCCAAAATAACTCAACAATCTTACTATAGTAACAATACTCAAACCCAAAATACAACTAATGCTGACAAAGATTTTACTAAAAATTTTTTTTCATTTCTAACTGATCTCAAATTATTAATCAACCCCATAATATACTTGTTAATAACAGTAATAATTAAAATTGTTTACAAAAAATGCATAATGATTCTAATCTTAATAAAACTTCTCCCAAAGTACTTCTTTAGAATGCTAATGGACTTCAATAGCATAAAAATGAGTTACAAACTATATCTAACGACAATATTATTGACGTAGCTCTAATTAGTGAAACACACTTTACTGAAAAATCACACTTTAACTTATACAACTATACTTCATACAAAACTAATCATCCTGACGGCTCATCTCACACTGGTACTTCTATTTTAATATCAAATACCATACAACACAACAAAATCAGACCGTACCAAAAACAACACGTTCAAGCGTCAAGCGTGTCAATAAATATTAATAATGTTCCAATTACTATTTCGGCTGTCTATTGTCCTTCTCGTTATAATATACGTCAAGTTGATTTTCAAAAATGTTTCGACACTTACGGGTTTGTATATGAATATGCCCAACTAAATATTTACAGGAACAAATTTTTATTTATTTATTTCGTTTACAAATTTTGTTTTACCCCTAATCCCTATAATATCCAAACTTTTAGTTGGACCCAGTTTTTATTGAGTCGGTCCAACTAGAAATGTTTTGTACCCTGTAAGTTTATTTGGACCAAATTTTTATTTTTGGAAGAGTTACCGATTTACTTAAATTTATAGCGATCACACTGTAAATCTTGTGCCCAATATATTTTGTTTTTTGAAGGGGTTTCTTTAAAAGAAATATATTTATCAATACATTTTTGATTTAATGCTCTGTATAATAATATAATTATCATGTTGACTTATTTGGTACTAATAATATTTGGAATATTGGACAATAATTTTATACAACACTAATCAAAATCGTTTTTTTGTTTGAAAAATATTTATTCGGTGCTAGTGTTTTTTAGAAACATGAACGTTCTGTTATTTTACAAATAACATTGCCTTTTGCGTCATATTTGAATAAAACTGTATAAATATAGTATAAATTACATTTTAAAAATAATGTATATTATATCCCAGTATATTTTATTCTACACATAATGTTATCCAAATTAATTAACTGTAAAAGTTTTTATAAACAACGGTCTTACTTTTACTATGGTTTGATATAGGGACACGATAAACTTCTAGTTGGAAGAACTAAATAATGATTTGGCCCAACTAAATATTTACAGGAACAATTTTTTATTGACAAAAATCTAACATTTTGACTTATTTGGTACTCATTTGGTGATAATATTATTTTAGGGATATTTGGAATATTGGACAATTGTTGTAAAAAATTATTTTATACTACGCTAACCAAAATTGTTTTTTTGATTGCGAAATATTTATTCGGCGCTACTTAGTGTTTTTTATACACATGAACGTTCTGTTATTTTACAAATAACATTGCCTTTTGCGTCATATTTGAATAAAACTGTATAAATATAGTATAAATTACATTTTAAAAATAATGTATATTATATCCCAGTATATTTTATTCTACACATAATGTTATCCAAATTAATTAACTGTAAAAGTTTTTATAAACAACGGTCTTACTTTTACTATGGTTTGATATAGGGACACGATAAACTTCTAGTTGGAAGAACTAAATAATGATTTGGCCCAACTAAATATTTACAGGAACAATTTTTTATTGACAAAAATCTAACATTTTGACTTATTTGGTACTCATTTGGTGATAATATTATTTTAGGGATATTTGGAATATTGGACAATTGTTGTAAAAAATTATTTTATACTACGCTAACCAAAATTGTTTTTTTGATTGCGAAATATTTATTCGGCGCTACTTAGTGTTTTTTATACACATGAACGTTCTGTTCTCTTACAAATAACATTGCCTTTTGCGTCATACTTTAATAAAACTGTATAAATATAGTATAAATTACATTTGTTAAATAATGTATATTATATCCCTTTATATTTTATTTTACACATAATGTAATTCAAATTAATTAATTGCAAATGTTAAAAAAAAAAAATATCAATTGAAATTAGATATACATAAAATTGTTTTAATGATTTGATCAATTTTTTTTAAAGATTTTAGGTGTTTTTGTTAAAATATGCGAAATCTGCGAAAACACAGTTTCCCGGCAATTAAAAAAAAACTGTAGTGCCGAATTTTTTTCCCGTTTAATGTGTTATGGGTACATATGAGTTCCAACTACTGGCAAATTTTCAACCCAAAAGTTTTAAAATTACCGCTAAAAACCCCGAAAAACAAAAAAACTTGTACCCCCCATAGGGGGTCGGGAAATGGGTATAGTTTAAGTTTGACACAACTGACGTGTGCGGGCATACCAAATAATTATTTCCGATACATTTCAACTCGATCCGACTCTTTTTCTCGAAATTATAGCCATTAAAATTTCTAACTTAAAAACTCGTATGGTTTTTTTTTTGTTTTTTCAACTTTCGTCTGTGAATAATTTATTTTTTTCAACTTTTACCCCCCCAAAGTACAAACTAAACAAAATTTGTGATTTATAGAGTTGCTATTCGAAGGAATTGGTCAAGTATTAAAAAAGTTACAGTATATACAGCGAAAAAAAAAGCCCACATCAGAGTAAAACCAATACCTTCTCGCTTTGCATCGAAGCTAAAATAAATTCAGAAAAAAATATTAACACCTTTTTTTTTTAACGTGTAAAATGATCAATGAAAAATATGCCTACTTCAATTTTTTAATTTTTGTTATCCTTATTTTGTTAGTTTGAGTGTAAAATGTAAATTAAGTATAATGTTATTATGGAACGCAAAAATTAGTGAATCGTCATAATATTATAATTTATACCGATAAAACAAAAGCTAAAGTTTTCTTACATAACCTTATAATATTTTTAAAATTACAGCTCTTATGATATTTCATTACAATTAATAATACTACAGTTTATTGTAAAACAAGCTTATTAATTAACTATACAGTAAATTTGTGGAATTTCGTTTTTATTTTGTAGATTATATATTTCGTTTGTGGATCAAAAGCCGTCGAACATCGGAGTCCAAGGAACTACTTTGGAAGAAAAGATTTTATAAAACAATTATACAATATGTTCATTATGTTAGTTGCACTTTTTAATAAATAGATGAAATAAAGTATTGTTGTAGACATTTTTCTATATTTTGTAAAGCTGACGTATCTAATATTCAATCATAGTTCATAAAATTGTGTGTTAGGTGGTAAGTTTTTTTTTGTTATTTTTAAAATGTAAAATTATATTAGACATAAGTGGGTCATTTAACGACCCACACTATTCTTAAAATAATGGCAATTTTGTAGTTTTTAATTTTTAAAAACCTTTTTTGTTTATGCTATACTACAATATTATACAATATTCAAACTGTAATGTTGTTTGGTATTCTCTAGAGCTTTATCAACTCCTAAAATTTATTTCGCAACATGTACCTATATTTAATTGAAATTTTCAATTAAGAATAATTCACTGGAAAATTCGACTGGTCAATAACCAGTCACTAGTTTTGAATAAATAGTTCTAAGAAATTTTAATTTTAAATTACTTTAAACTTTAAAAATAACTATTTAAAACTGTTTATCGACTTATTGTTAATAAGTTAACATGTGTTAAGTTATGGTATCGGTTGTTGTTTTAATAATTTTAAAACTATTTATTCAAAACTGGCTATCGTACTAATCAAAGTTTTCAGCAAATTATTCTTAAATTAAAAAGCTTATCAAATACATATATGTGTTACTATTTAAGTTTCAAAAGTCGATGAAGTTCTATAAAATACTAAAAAATATAAAAATTTGAGTATTGTTTAATTTTGTAATATAGTGCTAATGTCAATAATTTTAAATGAAAACTTGTGTAGGGCGTTAAAGTAATCACCTGGCATATCAAATAATTAATAGGTATATATATATATAAAATATCGTAAAAAATATTCTTCATACTTGAAGTAAACGCTATATATCAATATTATGTCTTTAATATAGTATACACTATAGTATAAATACATATATGTATCTTTCTTTATATTTAGGTCTTGTTTGGTTGAAATCAAAATGTAAATATATATATATATATTTATATATTCAAAGCTAAAGAAACTAAAATGTACATATTAATTCTTAGACTCTGAATTTAGATATAAAATAATAGTTTTTAAAGGATTGAAAAAGGTTGGTTTTTTTAACGTTTTAGACATAAAAGCCTGAGATTAATTATTAAATATTCAGGCTGCCTGACAACAGTTCTACTATTTAGGATGGTCCGATTTCAATTCTGTAAAGAGATATGATTTCTTTGGCTACTTCTCTGAGTTTTGCCAGAAACGGACTTTTACATTTTTCATGTAAAAAAAAAGGTTTTTGTATAATGAAGAATTTTCAAATTTAATTTATTTAGTTACAAAAAACTGATTTTTTAAAATAAAAATCGGTTTTCTAAATATAAACCCAATAAAGTAGTTAAACAAATCGAATCTCTTTGCAAAATTGAAACCTGATCATTTCGGTAGGTATGCTTAATTTTGACAGGCTTTTAGGTCGAAAAAAACAAAACAGCCTTTACTCATTGAAAAAAGTATATAAATTGAAAATAACCAATGCAGCTTTTAGAAATTAACTGGAAAGTAACTTGACATGGTCGAAATTTATTAAAACCACAATTTACTTAAATGTTGCCTATATAAAACTTCTTAAAAACAACCCGCTTCTAATCCTATTAATACCATTTTAGACATGTTTAAACCCTACTTATTGTACTTATTTTTAGCCACGTTCAAAAAAATCGAATATGTTTGATGTTAAATAATATATTTATTGTCCTTCATGGTTTTATAAGTAGAAGTATATCAAATAACTTTTTAACTTTCGGTATTTTGTTGGAGTTGGCCAACAATAACTTTATAGATATAGTTAATTACTAATTACATTTGAAATAATAGCCAATAGGTAGACTTAATTTATCAACCTACTATTACCAATGATACGACATTAAAGAAAAAATATTCCGATATTTGTTTATCTGTCAATTAAATCATAAATTATCAAAATATAACTTTAAAAAAATTGTATTACCGCAAAAAAACACTAATAGTATTACTAAGTAGGTACAACACATATACAGTCATAGGTCAGCTACTACTTACCATTTATTATTATATAATAAGACGGATAACCAGAAAATAACTTAAACGTTTTAAGACGTACACTCGAGATTAGCCAACACAATTTATATTGATTTGTATTTTATAAAACAACAATCATATATTTTTCAAAAAACAAATTACAATTATTACATTGGTTTAGAATCGTTTTGAAACCCGTAGCTCGTCCGTGAAAATATAATATATAAAATGCCAATATTACAAATTGACACAAATGTTCAGCCTTCGAAAATACCGTCAGATTTTGGAATTAAAACGGCTGAATTAATGGCAGACATGTTTAGTACACCAAAAAACGTAAGCATTTACCTATTCTGTGTTCTTAATGGACTAAAGTATATTTTAAATTATAGCCATAGGAAAAACCAAAAACAAGATTAGAAGTACAACATTACTTACAAAATTTAAAAAAAATTTCTTTGTAGTTCTATTCTATAGATACGTTGACAAAAAAAAACTCTTAATTCATTGGATACGTTAGTAAAGTAAAGGTCGCATTGAATTTCAGTTTTCCGTAGTGCACGTAAACGCTAATCAAAATATTTATTGGCACGGCGTGGATGGCTGTTGCGTCTTGGGAACGTTGAAGATAGTGGGCGGTTCGGGGAAAATAACTCCCGAACAAAATGTAAAGCACGCTCAAGTACTGGTAAAGCACATTGTAGATTACTTCAAAATACCAGACAAAAAGTAACAGAATAAAAATATACAAGTCAATTTTTTTTTTTTTTTTACAAAGTATTTTCATGTTTTAGCATATCAATATCATTTGTCGAACAGGAAGCGAGCAACGTAACAGTATTCAGCACTACTGTCTTAGCGTTTTTACAAAATTAACAATATAATTAATTTACTGTACAACAAAGTATTTTACATATTAGTTTAATTTCATTTTTTTTTTTTAACCATTTAAAAAAAATCAACTGCTCTAGAACGTTTTGCAACATTGATGTTCAATAAATTATCGGTCAAGTTTTTAGGTACATCATATTGTTTCTTTTCGCTTGTGGGTGTAGATTTTTTCAAATCACTTTTCAACTGTGAAATAGCTGGTGATCGAGTGGGCGTCGATTGTGGCGATGGGCTGTAAGACGCTCTCAATGCAAAATCTCTTCTTCTATCACTGCTTAAACGGTTAGATACTAAACGTTGTGCAGCCGGTGACATGGTATTCAATCTGTCCAATGGACTTGTCATTAAATGAGATGGCGAAGGCCTAAAAAATACAATACAATATATTTAAAAAAAAAAAATCTCTAGTCGTTTTTAAAAATCAGAACAGGTTATTTCCATACAATGATATTCCTATATAATATCTTAATACAAAATTAAATTTTATAATTACGTTGATAACTGTCTTCTAGCTGTTTCTAAGGCTTTAAACTTTTTATTCCTATGGCTCTCACTTGCTTTTTCAGCAAGGGCATGAGCCAATCGTTCCCTTTTAGGCTGTTCGGGTATTTTAAAAGTAGGCCCAGAATTATTAGGTGTCAACGGTGTGTCGCTTCCGTCCAAACGAAACGGAGTGCCCTCAATTTCTCCCCAAGTCATCAACGGACTCTGGTTGACACCCGGAGCTGGAGAAGGAGTTTTGACAAAACCATATCCGTTTATTTTAGGGGTGTAAGAAGTTAATTCTTTGCCGTCAACACCGATTTTGCCGTCCAACTGCCGAGTTTGCATATGCGCCAAGCTACACAATTGCTGTTTGTTGTGTTGTTCATCAAATGGATTCAGACGAAGACGCGTATTAGAATGTTCGATTTTTTGTCGTTTAGAAGCCATACTTATTAGTTCTTCTTTTGTTAATTGAACTCCGTCGGGGACATACATAATGTAATTTTTATTTTTGAATGTCCAAGAGTTCATGTTAAACGGCCTATCCGTTATGGATGCTTGGTCTTCAATAGATGGCACTTGGAGTGTATCTACCATTTCCAAAGCTTTAGTTTCGCCTTCAAACAACCAAGCGTTCTGTTAAAAAAAAAAGTTTATTTATTATTATTGGAGAATAATATTTTGAAAGCAAACACAATTAAGTTTTAATAAATTAAAATAATAATTTAAAATTTTAAAAAAAATCAAACCTTTTTGCGGAATTGAATTTCTGATTCCTTAATAATATCATTGAAACTTTGATTGTCTTCACTTGTGGTTTTACTTAAGAACTTATCTAAACTGGTATTCTCTGAAAAAAAAACATAAACAATAAAATAATGAAAACTACTATTTCTTATTTATAATAATTTATTAACTCATTAATAGAATTTAAGGCCATTTATTATGCATTTTTTTTTTTTTATAAATTTGTTCAAATAAACATTTGGTTGAAATTATTAACCCTCTGACTACTGCATTATAGACTATACTTGTAGGGCTGTACTACATTAGATTAATTTTATTGGAAATCATTTTATTCATTCTATTAACAGCTTAATCCTTGACAGCAGTAGCCAAAGGGCTAAATTGTACTTAAATAAAAATAAAAATTAAATAATGTCCAGATTTGCTATTAAGACACAAAGATAACAATTAGATATACAGTGGGTAAAAAAAGTCTCCGTACACTGTTGTCAATTTTTTTCAAAAACATAAAATGATAACTTAAAAGTTGATTAACTTCATATTTTTAACACACATTTATTCAGAAACATATTAATATTTGTTTTTAGAAAAATAGAACATATATATTAATTAGTTTATTTTATACATGTATATATATACAACAACTTTGGAAAATAACAGGAAAAAAAGTCTCCGTACAAAATAACATAAATATTTTTAACATGATATATTGTAATAATTATCGTTATTAATGGTCAATTGGCCCTCCTCTAGCTATAACAACTTCGTGCATTCGTTTTCCCATTAATTCTACTAATTTTGTCGAAACAGTAGAATCAATACTGTTCCATACTTCTAGTATTGCATTTTTTAATTGTTCTTTGTTTTGAGTTTGGTAATTTTTAAGACGTCTACCTATTTCCTCCCATAAATGTTCTATAGGGTTCATGTCTGGTGATTGTGGAGGTGTGTTAAGTTGTTTTGGTACTCGGTATAACAACCATTCTTTAACTTTTTTCGCGGTATGTTTTGGGTCGTTATCTTGTTGGAATATAAACGAATTGCCAATATTTAGTTTTTCAGCACTTGCATGTAAGTTATTTCTCAAAATTTTTAAATAAACATGTTGATCCATAATACCATCGATAAATACCAAATTACCAACACCTGCAGCGCTCATACAACCCCAAACTAGTACATTACCGCCCCCATGCTTTACCGTTGGGCACAAATTTTTGCAATCCATCTGCTTATTAGGTTTTCTCCACACCATAACTCGCCCATCTGAACCAAAAATATTAAACTTGCTTTCGTCACTAAATAATACAGATTTCCAAAAATCATTTCCCTTATGAATGTGTGCCTTCGCAAAATCTAAACGTTTCCTTTTATTTATTTGACTGATAAAGGGTTTTTTCCTAGCTACACAACCTTTATATCCTGCGTTTCTAATAACATTACGAATGGTCTGAGGCACAACTTTCACATTATAGTCAGTATCAATCATACCAGCCAGTTAAGGTGCACTGGTTTTTGGTTCCGTCACAATTGTCCTTAGAATGGCCCTCTTTTGGTGTGATTTCAATTTTTGGGGACGACCAGTACGTTTTCGATCTTCAAAAGAATCAGTTTCGTTGTATCGGTTTATAATATATTGTACAGTCGAGTGCGATTTATTTATTGTTTGTGCAATATTTCTGAGAGAATTACCATCTTTTCTTAGTTTAACTACTAATTTACGAATAGCAATTGGTATCTCCATTGTTCAATGTATATGAATTGAATAAAACGGACTAAGCGTATGTCTATCGTTCTTAATGGCTACAAAAACAATAATAACATGCTCGTTGATATGTAGAACTCTCAGTCCATACGGATTTTCCCTATTCCGGTACTATTTTTATCTGTTATTCATACACATCAATAAATGTACGGAGACTTTTTTGCTGTTATTTTCCAAAGTTGTTGTACATATATACACGTATAAAATAAACTAATTAATATATATGCTCTATTTTTCTAAAAACAAATATTAATATGTTTCTGAATAAAAGTGTGTTAAAAATATGAAGTTAATCAACTTTTAAATTATCATTTTATGTTTTTGAAAAAATTTGACAACAGTGTACGGAGACTTTTTTTACCCACTGTATACATTTTTTAAACTTAATCGATATTAACATACCAACAGTTTTTGTTTTGTTATCATCATTTTTCCCACCATCGATAATACTTGAATCATCAGCTCTACTAGATGACGGCCCTTTAGAAGGTTGTGGCGTTTCAAAAGTATCTGGACTGGCATCTAGAAATAAATTATTAATTTTGGTTAGGGTTCTAAGTGTGGTTTAAAATATCTAATCTAAATTTAAATACTAAGGGGAAAACAAATTTTAAAGATGGATAGGTGAGTATAAATTTCTTAAGATTAACCTGGCTGTGTAGCTAGTAGTCTTTTGCTTATACTATATTTTTCGTATATTTCCCGTAGTTTCTTTGTGTCATTTATTTCGACGGCATCTAAATAGTCTTTTTGAGTTTTCCACTTTTCCAGATCTGGGAAGAAATCTCTTTCAATGATTTTACCAATATTCTAAAAAAATAAATTTCACAAATGAGCAATAATTACAAATATTATATAATATACTTTCACTATTTGCATCAAAACTTTGAGTTATTTTACTCTTTATAAAAACATACATAACTCGATATTATTTATATTGTTGCTATCAGCATTGATTATAAATAATAATAATAATTATTATTATTATTAGCAAAGCATTAGGTACACTTTTATTGCGATAACAATTATTTCGTACCTCGCCTAATAAAACATACTTGTCTGATGGCGACAAACCGTTTTAATCCCAAATAAGCCTCCCAGTGGTTCTTGAAAATGTTAATATTATATTACATTTATTTTTATTTGGCAACTAAAGACAAAATATTTTTCAGTGATAATTTCTTTAAGTTTAACTCTTAACTAGTGATGTGCCATTTCTCGTACTGCTCTGACGATTGTAGTTAGTATATATTATTATGTTGTATAATTTTTATTATACAAATTTGTTTGATTTTACCTATAATTTTAAGGCACAATTTTATGAGTAGAATTGCTGCACACTAGTTAGGGTTAATATAATGTAGGTATAGTAAATTCAAATCGCCTAAAGGATTACTAATGACATTTTAGGAGATAGTTACTACGATAGTTAATTACCACAGTAGTCGATACCAATATGTAGGTGGCTAATATAATTATATTATGATGTTATGTAAACAGTAATAAAATTACCTCCAAATACTCTTCTTCGGGTAGAACGGCCTGTTCTTTTTGATTGGCCATATTGAAACTTAAAACTAACAATTGAAACGTAGGTGTAAGAAAATAGAATTCGTAACCAGTAATAAGTTGAATAATATGTACGACTTTTATAAAATATAACTTTACAAATTCATTATAATAGGTAAAAGTATGTTATACGTTTTAACTTTTAGTTTTTTTTTTTTTGTGAATACTGAAAAAACCTTAATCATGATAACAAGGACAATAATATTGTTATGAAACTTTTGATAACATCACAAGAATTACAGGCTTACCATTATTTAAATACAAAACAAAGAACATTTTATTTTATAATACAAAAAGGAAAAGTATTTTATAATTATAAAAATATATTACCAATTCTAATTAATAATTCTTGCTAAAATACAATATAACGTACATAGTTTCATTATGCATTTAAGTGTTCTCCTTTTCATATAACTGTCTTAAATGTAATTAATACAAGGTGTAATATATGTACCATAGATCAAAATTCAAATGAAAATATATACCTATTATTTTCATGACATATAATAGATGATAATAGTTAATAATACATATAAAAAGTAGATGAAGGTTTGAATGAAATCACTTTTTTTTTTAAATATTCTAAAAATATTAAAATTTTAATTTTTAAACTAAACAAGTACACTATTTCTAACAGTCATAATAATTATACATTATACATACATACTATTCAGTTACAATAATGTGAAACAAATCAGTGTGCTTTATACATAACATAGTTATTTAAAATTATAATAAAATTAGTCAATGTGTCACAAGACACATTGGTGTCTAAAAAAGTTAAATGTACATATTAACATAGTAAACACATAATAATACGTTAAAAACACTGTACATACAAGTAAATATTTAAATATACTTAATGTTATTAACTTTGTACCATAAAATTTGGGTCCAGATAATTTTGAGTTTTAAATACTAATGGCACATAATTTGGATCAACAAGGCTATCTAAGTTGTCATCTTCTTGTATATGCTTAATAGGAATTACACAATGATCCAAAGGATGTGGTGGTTCTTCGAAAATATTCCTTACAAGATCAACTATACAATCGCTACAGAAATCAGTACTTCTTCCTATAGAAGGGCAATCCGAACAATTCCATCTCGTTCCTAAGATGGGGTCTAACTGGCACATACAACATTTATAATTTTTATGGATAACGCAATTATCAGATTCAGACAGTTTATCTTTTAATACTTGATCCAGAATTTCTAACTTTCTTTCGCTACTCATCTCAATATTTTGTTTTAACTTTACATTGTTTCGATCCGAATTGTAAACATCCACATCATCTGACAATGTGGTAGAAGGAATAAACGTAGTTGGTTTTAATAACGCTCCAATGTTTCTATGACTTAAAGTAGCAGTTTTTTTGTTCAAGTTCTTTGCGCTTGCATTTATAGGTTTAATTTGACCAACTTTCTTCATTTTCATGTTGTACTTTTGAATTCTGCTGCATACTTGTCGCAAATTTCTCGTACCCAATGCTTCCGCTATCTTTCTATGTCTATTACTTTCATTTCTTTCAGGAGGATATTCTACTAACAGTTCTTCAAGGCGTAACTGTTCCTCTACTGACCAAGGCTTTTTAAATGTTTCTGGCTTGTCTACATCAGTTGCATTAGCGCTTTGTAATTCTTGTTTGTCGGATATGTTTTTATTCCGCAAATTAATGTCACAAACTAGTTTTGATTGTTCGCTTTCTTCATGTGTTGTATATTTAGACCAATCTATTTTTGGTACTTTAGCAACTGTTACTTTTTTCAACACACCGAAATCTTCTTGTTTTACAATTTTATTTAAAATGCTCAACGGATTCTTGATAACTTTTTCTTCTAATTCAACTATTTTTTCAATGTTTTGCACTATGATGGAACGTTGCACTTCGAGAATGGCCAGTGTTTTCAATAGATTTTGGTAATCCTTGTTCTTTTTCAGTAAATAAAAATCGGTTTCGAAATAAAATTCACCAGCGTCCAGCTCGGTTGTTGACGACTTTTCAAAATCGACATTTGCATCCATACTGACGGCGACTTTATTATAAAATAATAATTATCAAGTAACTGAAATACCGACACTCTAAATCAAGAGATATTTTTAATTTTGTATTTTTACATCAAACAACACTTGCAAATTAAATAACGTGCGAATGTTCAACAAAATAAAACAACAATGTTATCGTTATAAAAAGCGTCAATATTTTTTTAATTTATTGTTACATTTAAAAAAAGGGGTGGTTTATTTAACATTTATAACAGCTGCATACGTAGGTAATTTATTTTATTGTAGTGCACGAAACAACAATTATTGTCAAAAAAGCCATCACGACAAAGTACAGCATGTGCACTGCACGATAACATAATATTGTTATCAGCTCAATCTGTTTGCCGCGTTTGATAACGATGATTGCAATAGTTGTTAAATGGTTTTCTTTTCCATGACATTCAGTATATACCCGCCTGCCTGCCACCTCAACTATCCCCATCATCGGGGCATCCTGCATCTGAAAAAAAAATAAATATTCCATACTTTGATACTTTCATTATTTTTCGTTTCCCCGTTTGCCCGTTCTCGTTTTGTATAATATCGTGTAACGATAATAATTCATTTCCATATTGTTTCTTTTTATGTTCGCTTGAGACGTTTCAATTGTTTTTACTTTTTAGTATTTTTGTTTTGTCTGTCACAGAGTTCGAAAGGACGACGTCTTGTTACTCTATACGTTTTCTTCTTTTGATAAAAGTTACAAATAATATTATGCGGATTGTGTTCCTTGTAATTCGTTCAACGAAATTCACACGTTAAAAGTCGATAGCGTTTTTTTTTATTAATTATATCGGTTTGCGGTTATCACTGTTGTTTAACTGATTTTTTTTTTTACTTTTCGTGCGAACTGAACACGTCAAAAACTAAGTCCACTCGGTATATAAATGCGGAAGACGTTTTGTTCTAATGATTTAATTTTGCCTCTCGAACGGTTTTTAAAATAGAATAAATCTATTGATTTATATATATATATATATAATATATAGGTATATATTTTTTTACCATGTCTGACCAGGCAAACGATAATAGTCAATCTGATTCAGCTGAGCCTGCATTGTCGAATTCAGATGACTGTAAAGCTGAAGGTAAGCGAAAAACTGCATTAGATAATACTATAGTAAATAGGTGTATCCTATAATGTTATTTTGATATATTTCCATTGTTCACAAAGCTTCCGCAACAAAACTACATAGTAGTTTATATTTTAATACGTCTGATATTATACCCACTACCTATTTTAGGATAATTTTATTTCCCGGGTAAAACGCGCTAACATTAAGTAACAGTAACTGGATTCTGTTGCCTATTTCAATTTATCTGTGGTAAGGCTCCAAACCTTTATTATGTTTTGTGTGGTAAGTTTTATTATGGTAGGTTTATTATGTCTTCTACAATTGTTTACAGTTCCAATATTAGTTATTTGGTAAGGTTTAGCTACTTGAAAACTTGTTATCATAAATTAGTTTATCAATAGATGAGTTGGTTAAAATTGGTTTTTAAAGTGTGTTAAAATGAAAAACCAACAACTATAAGATATGTAGGTGAATTACTTTATTTCAAATATTAGGTTTCTTTTTGTTTCTGAATTAAGTGTGTATTTTAATGGTTATTAACAACAAAATGTTAGCATACATACTAATAAGTGATGCTAATATATTTCTAACTTAATTTGGGGACTAGCATGATTCGTGTTGTTAGTTGTATATTATACTTGATAAACCTAATCTCAACATTTAAAGACCTTGGATATGTGTTTCAAATAACTACTAAATGAGTTATAACAATTTTTTATTGTATCTACAATATCATGATTACACATAAATATGTTATTATTGTTTCTTTTTCTTATTAAAAGTAAATATAGTACAATAAATTTTAGGCCACCATTATACCTAGCTATAGATTTGTATTTAGTAACTATTTACACAGTGGTTGACATGGGAGGAACAAATATGGTGGGATGCCATCAATTTTTTTTGTTTATCTTCCTTACTTTTTGTCTATACAAAATATAAAAGCGTAATTATTTTTCTAATGTATAATATTTTTAGGTTTTTTTTTTGGTAAATGTTTTTTGTTAGGTTTACCAAAATAATACTTGGGATTTTTAATAATGCATTTTTATTTTGGCTCATTTTGTTGATAATTTTGCTGTACTTTAACTAGTTTAATAACAATACATTTTTTAAATATTAAAATACAAAGCAATAAATAATATTATACAAACACTTTCTTATTTTTTTTTTTTAAAGTAACCACTTAAGATTTACCTAAGCTAGTTCATTAAATTATTTTGATCTTTTAGAGCTGCAAGAAGGTGAGTACAGAGATATTGATAACAGACATTTTGTTTTTTTTAAACAAACCTCAATTAGTGGAGAGATCAATAATTTTAATTTTTAGTTTTATACATTTATCAAGTAAGATATTGTACAACTTGTAAATTAACTATGATTTTAATGTGATTTCTTATAATATTTTTTAAACTATAAATTTCTTTTTTTGTTTAATGCTGTTAATGACACGACATGATTGTAAAACAAATTTGATCCGGTAGCATAATTTAGAAAAAGATAACAGTATCTATTGTAGTAGTTTTAAAAAAAAGCACTAAAAATAAAAAATGTAGATGTAGATGTTGATTTTATAAAACTCTAATGCTTAAATTGTAAGTACTTTAATATTTCAAACAAATTACTGTAACGTTTATCAAAAAAAAAAAATAATAGTAATTTAAATGATGATAATTTATTTTTAAATAGTTTTTTTATATCGAGGGTTTCAGTGAAAAAATAATATGTATTTTAAATAAATAACGAGTACTTATAAAACAATGATAAATCTTGATGGAGTAGATGTTATCTTTTGTTTCGGAAAAATCATAATTATTTCTAGTCCACGACCAATAGTTATTTAGATTTAATTTATGATAGACTAACTTGCCCATGACTGGCAGTATTACGTTAGTAGGTACCTGTGTGATATATCTAATGGAGATAACCTATCTAGTTAGTGGGGGGGGGGGAACAATCATTGTTGGTTTATTATTAGAAAATCATTTCATGAAATTCCAATTTCTTGTAATCAGTGAAACGGTTTCATTTTAACTTCAGTATTTTTACTTGCTCATAATGTATTATATTTAATATTTTGATTTCATATTTGTATGACTTATTTTATTTGTGAATGTGCAATATTTATTTTTTACAATTTTTGACATTATGGATAATAGAATATTCAAAAGTCGTAAAAGACGTGCTGGTATTCAAAGTTCTATGTTGAATAAAGTTTTAAAAACCATGCCACATTGTAAAGAAAATGTTCCAGAAGGACCGTTAAATAATAATAGTTTATGTACACTTGGTTTGAAAAAAGTATTAGGTCTGCATCATTTCATGTATATTATTATAATTTTGTTTTTAACATTTCACAAGACTGTGGTCAATGGCATGCATTTTAAATAAATAATTAATTATTGTTTTATTCATTACAGGGATAACCATGAGTGAATCCGAAAATGGATCTGGCAGTGAAGAAAAAGTCAAAGTGGTCAGGTTCAAGCCGGAACAAAGATACACAAAAAAAGCATTGTTGGAGTTCCAAAATTTGTGCAGTTCAAAGGTACGCCCGAAGTTTTTGGACAACTTCCCCGAATTGGATTTAGAAAATTCTAAAACAAGAAAGTAAATAACAAATCGTACAATAATCAAAATCTTTTTGATATTTTTATATGATTTTTTAATTCACTGTCATTACTTGCTTTGCTTTTAGGGGACCACAAAGGGGGCCTATGACTAGCAGCAAACCTGCAACCAATACCAAATCTGTTGCATTCGATTTAACACCTTGGCAGAATCAACCAGTAGAAAATGGCGATATTAAGGTTGAAGTTAGTATATATTAATTAAATAATAGTCAATTAACAATATTATAATAGGTTGCTTTCTAAAGACAACTATGCAATAAATCAATATAAATAATGTATTAAAAATATAATTTAAATATTCGGTAACAAGATAGATAGGCTTTATTTTACTTCTCACCAAAATATATTGAAATATGTTTTATTTAAATAAATAATATTTATTGTAACAAGTAATAAATAAATAAATAACGTAACAAATCTACAAATTTATTTGGTATTTTGGTGAATATTTCTCAAAATAAAATTTGAATTTTTTTTTTAAGAAAAAAACCTAACATAGACGTAATTTAAAAATAAAATGACCTTAACCCGACCAATTAGTGTTTAAAGTATGTGTTAACTTAGGTAATTTTTTTTGTTTGGCTTAGAAAAAGTCGCAGGATGCCAAAGACCGCTTGAAAAAGGATCAAGATATAGTTTTGAGTCCACAAAGACGTAGCTTTAATTCGGGATGTTTTGTCACCGCTAATGCTACTGGACCAAAACGTTCGAATAGTCCATTGAATACAGCTGCTAAGCAGTATGTAGAAAGGTAAGAGATGTTGTTTTTAGTATTTAAATTTTCTTATATTATTATGTCTGCAGGGAACCTATTCGTGAACAACGTCGAATTGGTAGTGGTCGTTTAATGAGTCGAGATTCTTGGGAGACTGGATATCGTCCGGCAGAAAACGGAATTGCAAACAGTTACAGTTTTAGCAAAGGAAGTTTTCGTGACACAGCGTTAGTATTTTATTTATTATTATTACTTTTTTTTTTATAGTTAAAAATATATGATATTTCATATCATTGCGTTTTGCTTACAGAGAACCTCGTAGAAAAGACTTTGAGTTTGATAGGGGAGATTCAGATCGATACAGAAATTACGATCGTTTTAATAATAAAAGCTCAGGAAATTATGATAAGCGCCGAAATGATTCTTACCGCTCCCAAGAAGAACCTGAGTGGATGACAGGTAGCTAAATGTTTATTTATAAAAAAAGAAGAATATACTATAAATATAAAATGGAAATTTATATTATATTTTTATCTGGCTTGACAGCTCTTTGAAATGGAAATGTTAAAATTTCCTTTTCCTACTCACTTGTATGTTTTTTTTAATTCATAGATGGTCCGACGTCACAAAATGACACTATTGAGTTAAGGGGTTTTGATGACCCACCTACAGACAAGTCAAAGAAACCAAAAAAGTCTAAGACATGTAAGCATAATTGTACTATTTTTATAGATCATAAGTGTTAGAAGAGAAGCTAGGTGTTCAGTTGAAAACATAATGATTCTATTCTGAGTCAATTTATTATTAAATAATCAATATATCCCAGTTGGCAATTCAATTTTTACATTTCGTCAAAATCCTTAGAGATTTTGAGGATCACAGATATATTATATATATCACGCTCACTGTCCGATGACCCTTATGTGGTTCATAATTTATTTATAGATAAGTCCCTAATTAATTAATTATTTAATTAAGTCCTTATCATCTCACCTGTCCAACTGTGTTATTATGAATTTCATAGAATATAGTCCATACAAATTAATCTCCAGAAAAATAAATGTTTGAAATGAACCACATGTGGATCATGGACTACTAAAATAGGTTTAACGTGACCCATTATGGATCATAGGACTGATAACTTTTGATTAAATTTAACATGAGGACAGTGAACATGATATATTTATAACTATTGGTCACTTTATATAATAAGATTTTTCTTATCATTGTTTAATTTAGCTGCCAGAGCCAAGAAAAATTCTATTGACTCCACATCTACAGACGTAACGACCGCTGCTAAAGGCACGAACGATAAGTTAAAGAAAACAAAAAAAGAAAAGGACGAGGATAAAAAAAAGAAATCCACGACTGACAAGTCTAATGTAATTTTCAGTGTAGTCTATCTCTATGTACAAAGCCGTTTCATAACTAACTCGTATGATATGTTATAATAATACTTGCATCTGTTATATTGTGTCTATATTTAACATGATCTGTGGCACTCATCTGTGTAACATAAGTCGTTCATTTTAAAAACAGATTTACACATTTTGTATGATGTTACTTTTATCAAAAAAGTTAATTGCATTTTAGTTTCGGGCAAAATGAGCAAACTTACCAATACAGTATTTTAAAGTAGACTTATAAAGAACTAAAAAAGTGTAAGAAATACAATTTTTTGCCACGACTTTTATTTATTAGAAACATAGTAATTTTTCGTTCAAAAAGTAACATCTATCCATATATTTATACATAACATTAAATTAATTTAAAATGGTTTAAATTAATTAAAACCAATGTAAAATAGTATTAAAATAAATGGTTAAACTATGAGCGAATTTAAACGTTTGGCTAGTGAGAATTATGTTTCGACCTGAACTTAAATTAATCATTTTTTGTAATTGTTAATTAGGAAGAGTCTGATGATCAAACTAAAAAGAGTTCAGATTCAATTTCCGGAAATGAGTTTATTCAAGCTTACGATGCTGAACATAAGACGAACGACAGTGCTTTCAACGATTTCAATATAGATGATTTTTTGAAGCCAGATTATTTGAGTGATATATTGCACGTTGAAGGAGAGAGCGATGGCAATGTAGCTGGCGGCTCACGGTTTCGTCAGTGGTTCAGCACTCGTGATAGTAGTCGAGCTTCGTCGGCGTCAACTGAAATGTTGAATTCTGGAACTACTATTAGTACGATAGCATTTGTTGATGTTGATTAATTAACTTAATTAATTGTGTGATTGGCTTTTAACAGAGACAACTACAGAAGAAGATCCCAGACAACTATCTTCGATGCTTATGGGAATAGTCAAGAACCAGAGTAATCAAAGCGAGTCCAAAAATTCCACTAATGCTTACGATTCTATTACGTCAAGCGAAAACAGTAAACTTCCACCTGCCATCATGGACGTCATCAAAGCAAGTGCACCTCAAGTACCTGATCCTAAAACCGCCATACGTGATTTAGGTGAGTTTTTATTTTTCCTTATCAAACATTATAATTTTTTTGGTATTAACTTTGAAAAATTGTTCTCGCAGAAACTAGTGGCAAGGTTCAAAGTCTCGAAGAAATTGAGTCTAGGTTACGCATGTCTGGCGGTCAACAAAACGGATACTCGCCCCAGCACAATAATAACCAGTTCAACGATGAGATGAAACAAAAAAAAATTCATAACACTAAGGTAACTTCAAATAACAGTAATAGAGTGTTATTATATTATATTCATTAGTGATAGAAATTTCAATAATTTCGTCTATTCACCAAAAACAGGTACACCAAAACGAGTTTGAGAATAACGATGGACATCAACAAAACAATCCCCAAAACTATTCTATTATGCAGGTAAAGATTGAGATGCAATTTTATATTATTATACAAATTATAGCCTATTATCGTTTGAGATAATAAAATCAGTATTATTAGTAAAATTAAAATTGTTAAATCGATATTATAGGCTAATTAATCTTTATTAATGTTATTTAGTCTATTTTCGTTTCACATAAAAATTAAATACAACTAATAACTTAAACAAATTAACTACTATCTAATTCTTTGCGTAGTGACAAATTTATATAGAAATAAAAAAATTATAATAATCTAAACAAATTTTAATTAAAAAAAACCTCTCTTACGTATAATACACTATTTCAGATGCTAAATAACGCTCAAGGACCACCTAACTACGTACCAAACCAAGGGCAAAACCCTGCTGGTTAGTATTTGTTTTGTAAAACTACTTTTTTTTAAATTAAATTAAAAATATATAACTTCAACACTACCCCGGTAATTTTCCAGGTCCATGTTATGGCCCTTCAAACAATTATCGTCCCCAACAACCCAACATGCAGGTTCCTAATGAATTGGTTATGAAACTGATGGAAGCACAACAGGTTATTTTAAATAATATAATAATTTATATTAATAACACATTATTGTTTTGTAGATATTTAGTAATATTAATAAGCACGCTTAATATCCGAAAGTAATTACATTTTTCAATAAAATTAGTTAAAAAGTTAAAAATATGTATTTAATACAAAGCGTAGATAAATCTTTTTTAAAAACTAATTTTTTTTTTTTTGAGAGAGAATTGTTTAAATATAACAATAATAATAATAAATCAAATAAATAACAAAGTGTGCTATAATAATTATTTCAGTTGCAGAAACAACATGAAAATAATATGATGGCTAAAGCTATGGCTGCACAACAACAACAACAACAACAACAACTACACACCAAGCAGCAGGCTTATAAACTTCCCGTTGAACTCCAGCATATGGTAAACTATTATACGCCAACTAAGGATGTTTTGCACAACCGCGAAGCACAGGAAATACTATTAGGTTTGTAATCGTCTTTTCAACAGTTAGCAGAGTACTAGAGAGTATGGGAGTTGTAATGTTTTTAACATTTATAACATCATAAATAGGTTAACTATAATTGTGTCTTGAGAAGCGTCTACTTAAATTAAATTTAATAACATGTATAAATAGGAGTTTTCCCGATAAATATAATAATTAATTTTCTTCGTGGTGTTTGTAAGCATATAAAATTTTATTTTTTAAATTATTATTGTTGTATAAGTAAAAATATTTTTGCTTGCACGTTAAATTTGGTATTTTTAAAAAATATTTCAAACAAAAGCATACATTAAAACATAAATTTTAATTTCCTTATTTTTTTTATTGTTAGGTACTTAAGCTTTCAGTAAGTTTTAAAAAAGTACTACCCATATTTTCAAGATTACACATCTAGTGAACATTCTGTATTAAAATCAGTAAAACGTTTTTTTATTAGTGTTGACATCAAAAATAACGATAAGTTTTTTAAAAACAATTTTAGGAATAAAACGCGGTGAAGTTATGCTTCATAATTTGGTCGATCAATGGAAGAAAACTAATCCAAGTCAGGCGCGTTACCGAGAAACTCTGATATGTCTTATGAAGTTATTTCAACATTCCAACAGTATGTGATTACCGGCAGACATATTATTTAAATTAATACAAACGCTTTATTAACCCTATTACTATGTTTACAGATTCTCAGAGAATGGTCAACCAGCAAGATTTGGCATACCAACAACAAGCAGCGTTATACCAAAGCCAAATGTTGAAGAGACAACTGCTCGATCAAAGCCATAAAAGAATGGAAAATGTATGTAAAAAACTACGACAATTCCATAAAACTAATATTGGGGTGTGGTGTATTGAATGCGTATTTTATTTTCAGACTCATAACACACCTTATGGTGGAGAAGGTAGTTCCATGGACATAAACAACTCGTCTCACCATCAACAGCAGTCTCAACCTCGAATCGGCCTTACGCCGACATCAGTATTACGCAAAATGACTTCTACTTCAGAACCTCTAGTCGACAAACATCATATTCCCGATGAAAGAGCTGGTAAATCAATAATATATATTTTTATCAATTCTTCCATAAAACCCGATGTTCTAAATTATTTGTTTTCTATTTAATTTTAGCCACCCAACAAGCTTTACAACACCAAATAAACACGTTGCAACAACAAATTCAGCAACAACAGTTTATGCAGCAGCAACAACAACAGCGACCAGTCAATACAACTATTCAACAAATATTGAGCGGTAATTACCCTAGGTACCATCACGGAGGAGGAGTAACACAACAATCAAACAACATGAATGGGCGTGAGTACTTATTTAGGGTTAATAATTGTATCTGGTCTCACTTTAAGACCAAATCGTTTCATCCGTGAATGAATTGTTACCAACATAAATCGTTGACGAGTATCGTTTTCAAATTATAAATCAACTGAATACTCCTTAAACCCATAGTAAACTTTTTAACCTACCCCCCCCCCCCTGTATTTTCTCATTCTTCAAAATCGAGTAAAACACCCTAAAAATGTACATAATATTTTAACTTGAGGAGCCTCCACACTAGCATTTCTTTAAGTGCATTGTGTAGGCAATTTTTCATCAAAAATTAACATAAAGCTAAAATTTGTAAGCCTACACATTAACTCGGGAAAGAGATATTATCTATTTTGATATTTTTTTTTTCAAATTTTATAACACAGGCCCGATTTTTGTAGTACAAGAACAAAATATTATGTTTTTATCTTGTTTTTAAAAAACCCTCGGATTTATGTTTTGAATAAACAATTCAGATTCTTCATAAGTTTTACTGGGTATCGATGGACGCACAATTTTTAAGTTATTCTTACAATATTAACAATGTATTTCAAGCGATACATTAAGCAAAAGTTATTAAAAAAAATCAATATCAGTTTTCTAAACTCTTGTCTCAATTTGCTGCGTGTCAGAGTACTGTTGTTTTAACAATGAGTTGTTTAAAAATATGCAGGTGTAAACTGAAACTTGTGTATTTTTTATTTCAATAACAAATAGTTATTTGTAGGAACACATTTAAACATTTAAATGTTTTATTAGAGTCAATAATGAAGTTATGTCTAGTCTCTTAGCATTCTGGTCTGAAGATTGGACCGAGTCGATAGTAATGAAATCTCCAGTCACCTCCAAATGACCATACTATGTTGGCTTTCTTTTTGACATGAATATATCTTACGTCTGGAGCGATTACTAAATTTGCATAACGGAATATGATGCTATAGATGGGCAGCGGTGATGAATAGACGGGGAAGGAAAAAAGAGGGAATTACTGATAATAAAAATCAGCAGTTATTAGTTTAATGATAAAAGAATTGACTGATAAGTGAGAGGAAAGAAAATGAAGACATATTCATGATCAAATGTATTTCCTTCAAGGGAAATTATTTTTTCATTAATATTTATGACAATAAAGATAATTTCAATATACAGGTTATCTCACTTCGCTAAATACATTGTCAAAAAGATATTTATATTTTTTCAGGTATGAACTACGGTTCTGGCGACAACAAAAACCGCGTAGGCCGTGTTCAATCTCCGGTCAGCAACCAGCTTGCTCGTTGGTTTTCTCCTGAGTTGTTAGCACAAGCTCGCGCTGGACGTTTACCAAACATGCCGGCCATGACTCAAAATGTAAACATGCTCAGCGTAGAAGACATAGAGAAGTTCCAGGTGGGCGGTCGATCTTAAACGATCAGAACAAAAGTAAATCTGCTACAATGTTGTTTGTTTTATGTGTACCATAAGAACAATACAACAAAAACAGAAAAAAAAACAAAAAAACTTAAAAATTAAAAAATAATAAAAAATTGTTATTCCTTTTAATATATTAATATAGGTCCTTCTCCAAGTCTCATTTTCTTTATTTTCCTTTTATTGTTTTTAAAATACGAGGTTCACAGTATATGTCTAAGCAAGTTTGTTTTGTGCGACAGACCTCTAAAAAAAAAAAAAATTATTTCCTCCACTAAGCAATTCAGAATGTTATTTTTCTTTTTGCATGTTTTAAACAAAAAATTAACCAATATTTTTTGAAAAATTATAATTTTTATTCTAATGATGATCAGAAAACGTATATAAATATTTTATATTACATTATTATAATTTCTTCAAAATTTGAACCTTTGTGTACAAAAACTTACTATTATTATTATTACTATTATTATTATCTTTAGAAAAAAAAAAAGAAACAATGTGTATATAAGTACAAAGAATTTATTTTCTTATGTACAATTTGTCTGTGATGTTAGAAATTGTATGATTTGTAAGTTCAAAATAAGCCTTCATTGTATTACTAGAGTAAAAAAAAAAAATTAGCCATAGCGGCGGATGATGATATGTTATGAAGAAATAAAATATTGTAATTATTTAGTTTTGACCAATCGATTTTTCATTGTTTTCTATTACTTGTGGAGAATATTGCGTTCACGTGTAATTACGTGTACATGTACATCTTATGATTTCATATTTATATATAACAAGCTGTCCCGACCCGGCGTTGCCCGTGTATTAGAATAGACACACGATCAGCTGATCGGATCACTGTATCCCTGTGGTATGGAAAACCATAGAGTTGTATTGATATCTATTGATAATCATAATTAATCATTTTAATTAATTAAAAATTAAAAACATGTTCTTAGGGGTATGAAAAATAGTTTACGTCCTATTCTCAGACATACTGAATATACACAAAATTTTATAAGAATCGGTCAAGCCGTTTCGGAGGAGTTTAGTTACAAACACTGTGACACGAGAATTTTATATATATATAGATTAAAAAACACACTTGTTATTTTTTTTTTTTAATATAATATATATAAACAATACACATTATACATGTATATTAAACAACAGCTCATAAACATTACACAATTTCGTTAAATAAAAACCAAAATTTGTATTTTCTAAAACAGTAATAATTGGTAATTTGGGGAGATATGTAGATAAAATTAAAATACAACAGTATATACATATAAAACAATGATAATAATTACTATTAAACTTTGTTAATTTATTACACAAAGAATAACATGTATTTATTCCGAGGTCGAGACATTCATTCTTTTATTTTTTTTTATCCAACTCGTGGGGTAACCATTAGGTAATTATTTACAATAACGTCTAAACCTCGCCACTTTATTATTACGCTAATCTTTAAAAACATTAAATTAGAAAAAAATAATAGTCCAAACAACAATAACGATCGGTATAAATTAATACTTAATAAAACTTATGTTGGCCTTCCAATATTGAAAACACCATTTAGTTACATTTTTTTTTTTTTTTTTTAAATAATTATAATTTTACTTTGTTTATCAACTTAACGAGTATACTTCTATCTTCCACCTATAACAAATTATAGTGTTGTTAATTGGACGGTGCAGTCTGTAATGTTATGGTTACGCCTTTTTGATCGTCTGCTAATGCTTGTTTACAAGTAGTGTTTGCCGCTGAATTGGTGGCGGCGCTGGATGCACCGAGTGCAAAACATGGTTCACAAACGCGTACAGGTTCGTATAGTTGTTCGGCGGGTAGGGGCACGAGATTTCGCGAGCAGTCGGCACAAAATATTTTCCCACAACTCCTGAAACATCAATTTCGAACAATTTTTCAATAAAGCCAGCAACAGTTGGGCCGAAGAGGTCCGGAGTTTTTGGGAAATATTTATCTCTTTCATAAAAACTCTATTTACTTGCATTATTCCCTAATAATATAGGGGTCACACTAGATTCTCCTTCCATCTAATTTTAAAATCTTAAGTCTTCAAACTACGCCAAAGAAATTGTAATTAAAAAAAAATACCTTTCGTTTTGAGACTCACCTACAATGATGCTTCCGTCTTCCCAGCCAAAATTTGTTGTCGCAAGACATACACTGGGTAACTGCGTGGTCGGGTACCCAAAGGGTCGGTTGAGTATCGAGCGCTTCCACCGGTTCCCAAGACAGTGTCGTCTCGCCGCCAGTACTGCTACATACGGACACCTTCAAAAAATTACTCCATCCTCATTTAAATACATTACAACTACTAAGATAAATGTATCGGCCGACCAAACTAACTACTAAGGTCATTCTATACACTTATTTTTTTTTAATAAGCTACGCACATCATCGTCAGTTTTATCCGCCATCGTCCCTTGGCCATTTACTTCAGGTACGGTATTGATTTCGACACCATTACATCGATGACTGGCCTGGCGTAAGATTACCAACCGAGTAACATGAAGTTCGTTTTGGAGCGCCACTTCTTTATTCTAAAAAAAAAATAATACATATTTTGTTCCAAGTATGTTGTAACAACCGATTCATTAATTTGATACTTACCTTATGATCTAATGCTATCTGTTGTAGTCGGTCTTGTACATCGTCTACAAGAGGAAGTAAACCATCGACAGAGTTCAAAGTGTAATTTATCGAATTTGAATGTCGTTCTAAAAATATTGATTTAAAAAAAAAAAGGATAAAATTATTACCATTAACAAACTAACTATTTACAGTTATTTTATTATTGTCACAACGTACCAATACAGTTTTCTTCTGCGACTATACTAGAACTGGAGTTAGTATCTGATGATTTGTCATCTCTATCGTCTAATGAAATTATATCTTCAGGTTTAGAAAATTCTAAACTAGGTTCGTCGTTAGTTATCACAACTGGCTGATCATTGACTAAAGTTTCAATCATACCATCTATTCCTAACCTACAAAACAATTTATTTATCTTATATTTTTTAACATAATATTATAATATTATTATAGTAGTAAATAACATTGGATTAGCGTAATACATAACTGAAAAACAGTTTAATAACTTACGCTGAGTTACATAATTCGGTAGCTTTATTTAAATTTGGTCCTTCGGTAAATGGTCCAACATACAGGTCTCTCCAAAGATTCATGTCCCTCAGATTACAGCTAACCCACAAAATCTGTATACATAAAAATTGTATTATAGATAAAAAATTATTAATACATATATATATATTATATAATGTAATTAATTACATTATGTTGGTGCGATGAATACAAATGGTTTTTGCACTCGGGTGAAGCGGCCAAATGCTTCCATACAGAAAACGTAGCGGTGCCAATTCCTATGCGTTTTCTTTCCGCACCGCTATTACACAAAAACGTGCCAAACAGATTGGAATAAGTATGCTGCGCTAGCTTGACTAAGTACGACTTGGAAAATTCAAATGCACACGGGTATTGTGCCATCAGGTTGTGTACACAGTCCAGCCATTGAATGAACACAGGACACCGTTCATTCGGATCATCACCTTGACCGCGGTCGGCGAATTTGTGACCGAAATCTAACCATTCCCTTTGGCACAGTACTCGGAAACCATCGATAGTTCGATAGTACGGATCCAACATGAGCTCGGCCAAAGATACAATTTGTGGAGTGCGATCCCAGCCATCGGAACAATGTACGAGCACTGGTTGCATTTCTAATTCGATAGTCGCCACAATGGTGTTAGCGGCATGAAGTAAACCGCTCATGTTGTGCAACCATCGAGTACTTTCTAATAAACTGTACCAGCTGTAACAAGAATATAATCACAGTTAACAACTGCCTTTAATATTCCAATTTTATTTGTCATGTCCTACTTGGGAAGATCAGGAGATGATGCACACAGTTGACGGAGTAAATGAAAACTTTTCCTCACTGCGTGTATGTTCGCTAAGTTCATAAATCGTATTTCACAGCAAGGGTAGTATTCCGGACACTCGCATCCTCCACCGCGAGCTCGATTTGCAACGGCCGAAGGATAGGACCGTGCGTCAATTACCACTAATTTCTAGTAATACATTAAAAAAATATTATTATATTTATTTATACAATATTTACAGAATATACATATGCATTGTACATTAATTGTACCAGACAAACCTACTTTGGTTTTTTTAGTTTTGTTTTGACAAGATTCTGCAATTGCTTTCAATAGATCTTCGTCCTCCGATGATCTCCATCCAAGCCAACCGACTTCTGGCTGTGAACATCTTGCTAAAATAGCTCCGTTACCCTTATGCCTGAATAAGTTTGATTGAAAATTAATGAAATAAAATAGGTAGGTAATTATGAAATAAGCAACGTTACCTCCAAACAACAACTGGCACTCGTTTTGAGCTACGAAATTTCGCTGCAGCTTCCAACACCTGATCGGTTATACACGAAGGAACTAATAAACGATTTGGATAACTGGCACATAATTTGTAGTCCCAATTTACTTCTGAAATTCTCCATTTAAAATCATCGCCCTTAACACTTATGTTTAGTCTTTCAATCTGTAAAAAACAACTAACATGATAAGTAACTAGCATAGGTAGCACCTACCTAACATACCCTATTAATGTGTTCAAAATACATTTTGTATTATCTAAAGCAGTAAATTAGTACAAATTTTATAATATTTTACCTCTTTCAAAAAATAATCGTCTTCTCTGTCGTGTCCTAAGTTTGATGAAATGTCTTCAAAACACTGATCCTCGATGGCCCACGCGTGAAAAGCAAAGGAAAATATGTCTTGGATACTTTTTGGAGCTATTAAAGCTCTGTTTAATCGTTTGAACCATTCTAGACATAAATCATTAGTAGAAAACGTACACCTATAACAAATAAACAAATTACATCATTAAAACATTGAAGCTAAAAAGTACACAGTTAATCCATAATAATTATTAGGTCACACATAACGTCCTGTACAGCGAATTCCAAAATGTAATTCTTACATACCTATCTGGTTTACAGAGCTTAAGAAAAGGTAGATATTTGATTCCCATTTGTAAAATTTTAACAAAAGTTAAAATCATGTACATATAGTTTGTAGACAAATTTTGTTTTCATTTAATAAATAACCATTTATGTCAAAATGTTAGTTATGTTGTTCGTCAACAATTTTGCTAACTGTGAGATTAAATTAGCTGACTGTTAGCATTAAATTTTGACCGAAAACAATTTTTTATAATTGCTTTGTAAACCAGATTTTCTCCAAAGAAAATTTAGTTTTTAATTATATGTCTGCTTAGATAAGTTAAAAACATACTTGTTTTCAATGGAAATAAGTTATAAATTAATTTTAAAAAAAAATATTTAACAATATTAATATTAATATTGAACAACAGTTTTTACATTGGTAATATTTGAAAATAGTTATTTGAATTGCTTTTCTTAAAATAGCATTACCACTAAATTTGAATTGTAGTTTAGTTTTTCAACTTACCTGCAAGTGCGTGCATCTTTACAACTGACTATCATGTAGAATAGATCTTTGATTTCAACTATTTCAATTAAACCCAATGGTATATTGCTGTCTTGAATACCTCTTCTATGTTTCAACCTTTCGTTTGATACTTGTTGGTAAAAACGGTAATTCGATAACGCTAAAACGGTGTTGTTTGATCCGCGGCCAAGGTATTCGACTGATTCGCCGGCCAACGGTGTGAAGGGTACTGACGGTGGTTCCAGAGTGGGAGGGCCTTCATCGGTTTCCAAATCTCGTTTTGGATACAACTCAGATGCTCGTACGTGACACATTGATTGCGTCACGGTCGACGTACTCCCAGAAGAGTCTGATAACTCCATCTAAGCAAAAACAATAAGAAATGATTACCTTTTTATCGATCGTTGACAATAAAAGTTGTTATTGAGATCATATAATTAACAAATGGTATCAATTAAAAAATAATTTGAAACGACTGAAAAAAAAAAAAAAAATTGTTTAGCCAAATAAGTAAATTACACTAAAAAAATGGATTATATATATTTTTGTGCTATAATATTAATTTATCTCACCATAGACATCTAAAATACTGAATACTTTTAATTTTGTTTGTATACAAATTAGTTGAATTTAATAAAAACCATTATATCAAAGTTAAATTACTAAAATAATATTATTTAATGATATTAAAATTAATACCATTAATTTGTATTTTACCTATTTACCAAAATTGCAAAACATACAGAGATATTATTGTAAATAATTATAACTCACTAAAATAGACTAGCAAATGAGTTTTTAATTATACAATAAATATTATCAATTAATAGTAATAGTTTATTAACCAACAACAACAAATAGATATATAAATACACATAAAATAATGGACTGTTTAGTATTCATAACAGCACATTTAAGTTATAATATTCACACTGTTTTGGCTAATCACCAGTCAAAGGTCAACATAACATTCCAATTAGGTATATTTTTAATAAAATGTAAATTATTAATCAATTGCGTATACCTATGTAATATTTCTTTAGAATAAACCTTATTATAATTATTTATATTTTTTTTACACTTGAAAAAAAAACGTGTTAGAATTCAAAATGTTTTTCCTGATAAACTATAATGTTTTTTACTTCATTGGTACGAAAGTTATTGCTACTTGAACTTTGGCAACAGATTAAGAACTAAAATAATAATAAATAAAATATTCATTATTTCTGAAATAAGAAAAATAAAACCCACAAAGCTTCTAAAAAGCTGCCAAGAAATGGTGGTTGCCACGCACGATAGTTGCTAGGGTTCAAGTAGCTAAAAGTTTTAATTCGGCTAAGTCCGCAGATTTCCGATTAAAATCAAAACGTAAAACAACCTTAAACATTTGGAAAACAAATATACATAAAATGGGTGTCAGGCAAAAAAAAAAATGCATACCCCGAATCGTCGTCGCAAATAATTGTCAGTCAGGACTATGATGGAGAAGGACTATGATGAACTAGATATATGTTTGTTTTTTTTTTGTAAAACAATATAAAAATGCTTAGGATTATTTTGTTAAGGCCAACTACATTATTGAATTGCACACGACGTCCTTGCCCAGTGCATAACACCGTATACCCATATATATATCACTATGATCATCATCCTAGATATAATTCATAATAGGTATTATTATTATATACTATACTATGAGAAACGAATCACAATTAAATATTAAAACTGGCACACTGACAATCCGCGTTTAGGAATCTCATAAAATGCGACACATAAAATTAAAGTTGTTAATTGGACACACGGACGCGGTTTTGTATTAAGCCACGGCAAACGCGAAGGACGCGACGCCTTTGGGGACTGATAATAATGCACACTCAAAGGGGTCGCCCTGTCGTTATCATTTTGTAAACACTTACTTTTCGCTGTGTTACGCGTACATCCCAATATTGTAATACCGTCGACGATGGATTAACACCAACAACAATAAACAATTATTATTTATTATTCACATATTTCCAATGTCGGCCGCGACCGACACTGTCGCAACACAGATATTTGGCGCAGAATTTCACGGACGAACGATTAGAAAACGACCATAGACAATAATAATAATAATAATGATTTTTAAAACTTTCAACACATTCGCTAGACGTACGTACGTAGAAACGTATGTAGAAAAAAAATATTATAATAATTCGATAATAACACACGTATAAGTAATAAAAAAAAAAATCAAACACACACACACACACACACTCACTCACGTCAGCGTAAACGATAATACTGAATGTAAAAAAGTTTACGAAACGATATTAGAAATAAAAATACCGAACGAATCGACACATTCATAATAAAAACAACGATAACAATAATTATTGAGCGAGTAAAACACGAAATGAAAAAATATTTAGAACAATAAAATAAAAAGTCATACACAAATCACAAATCACAATAATCTATTAAACACATACATATATATATATGTATACTTGTATATATATATATATATCATGCCATACATAATAACATCTTGTGTGTACTGCAGTGTTGTTCTTGTGGAATGAAATTCGATAAAAGAACATATGGCCAAACAGTGTGACCAACGCTGACAGTGTTCACAGCAGTACGGTAATTTTTTCGGCTGTATTAACCTCAAACAATTTAGTATAAATAATAGTAATAATCGGCCGTCGAGCGATGATAAAGATTTTGAATTGAAATATTAATGTTATTACTTATTACTTATTTTAATTTTTAATTTTTTTTTTTAGTTGTAGTTTTTTACTATAAAATTGAAACGAAAATTGTGATTTTCGTTATTAGTACATCATACAATTATTGCCTATGTAATTATTCATTATCCACAATAAGTGACTGCCTACCTATTCATTAAAGTCGATAGTTAAAGTATATATATATAAATATAATATAATATATATTTTCCATATCTGCGCTTTGTAAATCGTTACACACATAATAGCATTTCAATATGCCTGGTTCATTCATTTATGCCAGAAGCGAATACAATATTTTTGTATTTATTTAGGATAATATTCATCATGGGTTCGGTTAATTGAAACTACTTTATAGCCAGTAGTCAGGTAACTGTCTGGAATGCATTTTGTTTGAATTACTTCTGTGTGTTTAACCGGCAGCCGTTGTTTTTAATTGTTATTGTAGATCGCGACCAAATATGGATATAACGCCAAACTCTGACGGAGGAGTTCTCAAAGAATTATTGAAAGAAGGCCACGGAACGGATAAGCCCCATAAAGGATGTAGAGTTTACGTAAGTTATGTTGGCACGTTTCCTGATGGCACGGTATTTGACAGGACTAACGCCAGTGCTCCGTTTCAATTCACCCTCGGAAAAGGTTAAACATTAGAACATATTTTATTTAAGTAGTTTTCATTCTATTATTATTAAACTAATTGATTTACATTCTAGATATGACGATAAAAGGTTTTGAAGTGGCAATATCCACCATGACTTGTGGAGAAATTTCCAAGTTTGATTGCCATCCAGATTACGCTTACGGTTCAGACGGCTTTGAAAAGCTAATCCCTCCGAACACATGGCTTACGTTTGAAATACAACTGTTGAAATGTACGTGGGAAGACATTAGTCGTCGAAAAGACGGAAGCATAACTAAACAAATACTAGAACCTGGTACCGGTCACGTCACCCCCAGCAGTGTTTCTTTGGTCAATATAAATGTACAAAAGGAAAAAAACGGCTGTGTTGTAAAAGAAGACAATCTAGAGTTTAGATTAGGAGAAGGCAAATTGCACGGTATATGTCCTGGTATAGAGCTAGCGTTGACTAAATTCAAAATGAAAGAGAAATCAAGACTGTTCATTCATGAAAAACACACTTTACCAGATCAAAACGACGATAACTCAGAAGAAGTGTATGTTGTCAAACTGAATTTTTTCGAAAAGGTTGGATTTTTAAAAATTACACTTATTTAATTTTGAAACTCATTGTAATGTAACTCTGTATAGTTTGTAGAAAGTTGGTCGTTGACTAGTGAAGATCGTATAGAACAAGCGAAGTATTTCAAACAAAAGGGAACCGAGTATTACAAAATGGAAAACTACAGTATGGCACTTAAATTTTACAAAAAAATGGTAGACTATTTAAAGAACGATGTCTCGAGTATGTTACTTTGAAAAATTGTATTTTAAAACAAACTGTATTAATTCATTTGTTTTTATTTAGTTAATGAAAATCAATTGGAAGAAGTAAAACTCCTGAAACTAGTGTCGTATTTAAATTCTGCAATGTGTAATTTAAAATCAAATAGACACACCCAAGCGAAAAACGACTGTGATAATGCGTTAAACCTAGACCCGACCAATGTCAAAGCTATGTTCAGAAAAGGAGAGGTAATAATTCAAGTAATTTTTATTGACTGCAAAGGGGTTATGTTGCATTTTAGAAATTAGCTTTTTTTTTAACATTTGTTTCTTAGAACGTCATTTAAAGATTATAATTATCTTGCAGTAATGGCGTAATAAATAATAACAAATAATTAGTTATGACTACTTTATCACCAAACACAATTATGTAGCCAAATAATACTAAGAAAATTGTCTGCTAAATTAATATAGTAATCGGTAGTTTGACTAGTGGGTTACTATCCATATGTTTATTCTATGAGTAATTAAATATTTTACTCAAATCATTCTCACTAGAATATTTATCAAATAATAATGGTAATAATTAGTCCCGTGTTAAGCTAGTGATTTCTGTGGAATTCATTTCCATATAAATTAAAAATTAATAAATTACAAAATCTACTTACCCTATTAAAATTGATCTCCTTTAATTTCTTTCAGTTAATTTATTGCTATTATTTTTTGGTATATTAAATAGAAATTAAAGTTATCATTCATAACGTAATAACATTCTCTGGATTTTTATGGTATCATATTTCTTTGTTTTCCCGAGCTAAATATTAATTGTTTAAAAAATATATTGGTATTGTAAGCATTTTATTTAATTAATTTTCTTTTTTTTATTAAATACCACAATAAATAATGTAAGACTTGTAACTGTTGTCTAATATTACCTATGCACGACAAACGCAGAGTAATAAAAAATAAATAAATTACCTAGTTAAAATTGTAGCATTTTGTTTGATTTCAACACTTGTTTGTATGTATAACGTAGCTGAATACAAAAAACCTGATTGTTAACATTTGTGATGAGACATGCAAAAGTAATTTGTCGTTTTAAACGAGGTAACTAAGCGTTATCACTTTACATTCTAGCATAACAACAATTATTATTACTGCATAGGCATTTCTAATCTGTTATCTAAATATTAAAACAAGTTTCATGGCCTATTGTTCTGTGTTTGTACACTGCAGAAATTAAACCGTTATTCGATCGACTTAAAACAATAATTTAAACAAATATTCTCTTTTTCTCGTTTTACCAATAAAAAGGAAAGTAAAAGTTCAGACGTAGAGCTTTCTTTGGGTACGCTCTCGTCGGTGACAGAGGAGAAAAACGTGATGTAATCTTTCATGTGTGATGTCAAACACAATTTTTTAAGGATCAACTGTGGTTAAGTGTAGTTTGAAGGGTATAGTACACAATTTGCGTTATGAGTAAAAATAAGATGTAGTTACATACTGTGCTGGCCTTACTTTCTTCGACTGACAAATCTTTAAGACTCTAGGTCACTTAAGGGAAATATGAATGCGAGCAATGTGGGTATAAAGACTTGAATAGATATTTCTCTATCCGTATGATTTTTGCTTTAACCGATACTTGCTTTTAATAAACAAGTTTAACAAAACTGTTGTCGTTATAGTCGTTAATTGGTCTGCACGAACTAATAGCGGCTAAACGGTGTTTTCAAGAGGTTTTGAAACAAGAACCAAACAACCGTGCGGCTGCAACCAAAATCAACGAATGTGATAATAAATTAAAACATCAAAAGTCGTTGGAAAAATCCGTGTATTCAAATATGTTTGAAAAATTTGCCAAAAGAGACAGTGAGTACACCCATTGAGACCATACGTAAACTTCAGCGACAAATGGAGGCCGCTATTTAGATGCTAAGACATTTGGCCGCCAATAAATAATGAATTTCTTCGAATTAATAGTAGGGTTTTTTTTAACATTTTGATAGATCGATAACAAGTACTGCATAAATGTCAGCTTTTGTTAGTGTATACTACAAAAGTCTAAAATACTAGTGAGGCACAATCTGTATAATGTGATGACCTGTATTAATTTTGTAGTAATATTTTATATTACTCAAGTTTTGACTTGGAAATATTAATTCATTAAATGATTTGTTGGCGTCCAAATGTTCTAATAAAATTGCAAAAACTTTATAGTTACATACAAATATGTCCTATCTTTCTTCAGTAATTTATTTATATTTCAACTTTGTTTATTTAGCTGCAAAAGAAGAAGAAGCGCTCAGCCAACAACCAGATGTAATGAACACCCTCGGGGAATGGGGCGACGATGAACGAGAACGAGCACCGTCTGATTTTGAAAAAGAACATCCCAACGTATTGATGTTGAACACAACGGGTCTTTTTAAAAATTTGTAACTTATAATCTTTGCAATCTTACCGATAGTTGAGATAAATAAAACCGTGCTGTTGATTCAAATTAATTAAATTAAATAGACGGTACCAATCGTTAAGATGTTCAATAACTGTTTTATTTGTTCCATGTTACACATAAGGTAGGTTAATTTTATATCTGATATATTTTAATTTTCGTTGGTTAGTTTTTTGAACACTTTTACAATATGTTTTCTATTTCGTTTTAAAAACAACAATAGTACATTTTACTGCGACAACAATTTTGACAATGTAATTTAATAACCCGCTTGTTTTTTATGAAATCAACATTGTTTTCAAGCAATATCTTGTTAGGCTAATCTAAACTTGTTAAATAGATAGTTGTTTGTATTTCCGTTTAGTAACCGATACCAAAACTATGCGAGTACGGCGAATGCTTGATTCCGAACGAATGCGCCGGTGGCAGATCAATTGGAACCTAAAACATAAAATCAATTCACGTTAATCTATTTGAAAGAGTTCAAGTTTAACAACTATTTAATATCTCTGTTTGTGCAGTTACTCGTTTTTAAATTACAAATTTGATTTTCCTAGAGTTAACCAAATGAATACATTACATACGACTACTGTACGTACTTCCAATATTATTTCGCTCTCTAAACTACAAAGCTATGTGTGTTTTGCATATTATTATCATTATCATTTTTGTTATCTAGTCTTATTATTTACTACTATTATTATTAATAATCTAATTATCGTTGTGCTTGATTTTAAAACCGTGAGATAAACGTCTCTGTTAACTACTAATATAAACTGACTTATTCTTGTTCGTAAATGATTCCTTCGTATTGAGAATGTCTTATACCGAATGAATAAGCCGGTACCGACGGTTTTAACGTTGTCCCCTAAAAATGTCAAAGAAAACCGTCATTTGAACATGTCATCTTTTGTAATATGTAATTGTTTTTTTTTTTTTTTGTCCTAATAAATATTACAAAATAATATTTGGTATTTGATGTGTGTATTTAATTTTCAAAAATACTAGTGCACAATACATTTATAGCAAGCTGAACAATTCGGAGCTATAATGAGAGTGACTGCCGCCTTGAATGGAAATAATATTATATAATCAAAAATATGAGAACCATACAATCTAGGTGGGTTAGGCGTATTGAGAGAAGGAAGAAAATGAAATAGTAAAATAGGTGAGAGAGGATTGAGACAGTGGTAGAAGTAAAAATGAAGTCTGGATGTAATATATTAAAACTTGGATATTAAATGTTTTAGCTTCGATGCGGAGTCGTGAAGGAATTGTTTTTACAATGATTTAATTTTTTTGTCCGAACCGATGGACCGATTTCTTTGTGTAACAAGTCTATTAGACTGACTCAAAAAAAAAAAAAATGTTTTTGCTATTCCCTGAAAAGTTTTGATTTGTCAAAAAAAAATAATGTTTAACATTTCAACCTTCTAGGACAACTCTGAGTAGTTCCTATAGAGCCATATTGTCCTCATTTGATTAACACATAATAAATACATATTTCGTTAAAATCGACAAAACTTATAAATATGTTTTAAATTTAAAAAAAAAAGATTCTGGAAGCCGACATATTTTGTACCTCTAAAATATTTATAATATACATTTTTAGGGTTTTCTCATTTTTTTAATTAGTTACAATGACCTAAAGTTAGTCAGTTTAACGTACCCTAAAAGATTGTTTCTATTAATAAAAATGAACAAGATCTAATGTCTATAGATATAAAACATTTTAAAAGCGAAAGTGTCAGCTTTCAGAATCTTTTTTAAATTTAAAAAATATTTTTAAGCTATGTAGATTTTAATGAAATATGTATTTATTATTTGTTAATTAAATAGGAAATATATGTCTCTATAGGAACCACTTAGAGCTGTCCTAGAAGGCTGAAATTTAATCAAAATAAAATTCAAACATTATCTGTAGTCGCATTTTTTTTATAGGATTAACCCAAATCGAATCAAATAACATGATTATAATACACAGTTCTGGCCAATTGGGTGATTTATATTAGTTTTTACTATTTACAGTTTTGAATCGAAGCGTTTATTTAAAAGTGATTTCAGCATATCGGTGGCACAACCATATATTATGATGATTACAGTTCTATAGGGTGATTTTTTTTTATCGTAAACCAGTTAATATCCTAATGGTTTTAATTAATATATATATTTTTTTCATAGTGTTTTTATATAATGTGATATAAATTTTCCAAAAAATGTCATATTCCTACCCCACTCCTAAACTAATTATTTTTATATCAACTTTTGAAACTTAAACGGTAGGTAACGTATACATTTCATTAACTTTCTTAATTGACAATAACGTACTGAAAATGTTGACTGGTCGGTAACCAGTTTTGGATAACTATTTTTGAAGTTATCGCAGTTTCAAGTTTAGGAAACGTGGAGTTTAGTATTATTTTTATCTGCGCGCACTTCCCCTCCTCTAGTCTTAACTTTTAAACTCTTATAACTTCAAAAATAGTTATCCAAAACTGGCTATCAACCGGACAAAATGTTTAGTAAAATATTCTTAAATTAAAAAGTTACTGAAATATATACGTTAAGTTTTAAAAGTCGATATAAAAATAATTAGTAATGGAGTGAAAACAACAAAAATTCGAGAGATATTGAGATCACATTGTTTCAAAAACACTATGAAAAAGAAAAATTAAATTACTAATATTAAACCCTGTGAATTATTGAGTGGCTCGCGACAAAATAAAAAACCCATATTTTTATTCTTTATGATTTCAGTACAGCTATGCCCCCGACCCCCTGTCCATACGCTTACCTATTAATGCGAGGTAAACTGACCTTTTCCGGTGAATAAGTGCCAGGGCCGGGTCTCGGCGAATTGTCCCCGGGCGTATTGTACCTAGCGCTGACCGTGTACGCCGGCGATTTGGGTTTTAAACTATCTCCACTTACGTCGTTGTAAGCTCCCGGTCCCGGATTCAACAACCTGCCGTCCGGGAAGTCCTTGGTGCGGCCGGATATGCTGAACGACGGGGCCGCCCTGAAGTGGCCCTCCTTGGCCGCGCCCATCACGGTGGGTATGTTGTACACGTTGGGCGCCGGGTTCGGGTTGGGTTTGTCCGTTTGGGTTTTCAGACCGAAAGTGTACTCGGGCGAGTGCTCGTGCAGCGCCTTCTCCGACCTGTCCAGGTTGTAGTCGCCCGGCGCCGGGTAGTTGTCCGCCCTCGTCTCTTTGGGCCTGGAGTGCAGCGTGGCCGCGAGCGGCGTGTCTTTGCCTGGAATACGGTCGGTTCGCGTTCGATATTATTTATTTACTTATTAACTTCTTTCAATGTAAACAAAAAAGCGACAGCCATTTTGTGACGGACTATTTACTTATATCTACCGGCCGATAAAGAATCACGCCCTACGCTAGTTTTCGCTTAAAATAATTGCAATTTTTTAGTGTTTCTTTTTGGAAATATTTTTATTTATATTTTATTACTATAGGTATTAGACAATATTCAAATTTTTATCTTTTTTTTTAGTATTTGCTAAAACTCTAACAACTTATAAAACTTGGCTTTTGTTGAGTAATTTGTGTACAGGTAAAAATAACTCTACTATCCACCCTTCTTCCAGTCCTAAATTTTTAACTTGAATAACTTTAAAACTATTTATTCAAAACTGTTCATTGACCAGTGCCTAAAAATTATTCTTAATTTATAAAGTTAATAAAATATGTACGTTACCATTTAAGTTCCTATAGTCGACAAAGCTGTAGAAAATACTAAAAACTTTAATATTGTCTCAAATAGTAATATAGCGTAAACAAAAAAGTTTTCAAAAATAAACACTAATAAAATTGTAATTATTTTAAGAACAAACTAGTATATTGCGTCAAAAAGAACCATTCGGCGGTATACGCCGTAAGAGCGGTTTAAGTATAGCAAACATTATAAGTAATACCTTTAAGTATTAATGGTAATACTTAAAAAAACGGGTTAGTTTAGTAAAAATTGTATAAGTTAAAAATTATGCCATGAAGCTTATAAAAATTAACCTGAAGACAAATTGGCATGGTCGAAATGTATTAAATCACTTAAATCACAAAATACCTAAATATGAATACCGAATGATTTCTTCGGATTTTTCTGGTCTTGTTATTAATTTTTCAGTTCTACCAAAAAGAGCACATGAAATTTGTAAAAAAAAAAATAATATCCGTTTCTAAAATTGGACCTGTATTTAAATTTGTTTTCTTCACAATATTCATTTTATTTAAGACATCCATAAAATCAGAATTTACCTAACTGACATATTTAGCCATTAATTTGGCAAAAAATACAATTTAGTCAAAACGTGTTACTTTATTGTAAAAAAAACGACACGAAATAATATATTTCGGCTTGGTATTTTGAAATATTTTAGTAAACAGGTTAGGTTAGGTTTACCTTTAGAGCTCATTCCAGTAATATTGTATTGCCCTGGTCCAGGTCCAGCGCTATCGTTTTTTTCGTTATGCCTAGAAAACAAAATTGACATTTTGAGTAGGTACTTCTACTTAAAAATAACTTAATTAATTTTAAAAAGAGTGCAATATAATAATTATCAGGTTAAAAAATTGCACTTGTGACACCCGCAGTGAGCTGTGCACTGTGCCATCGACATCAGTAATTTCTTCTAACTACCCTATATTCTAGTACATAAGTAGTTATATAAGTAATTTCAATTAAAAATCTTTTACCTGGCTCCAAAACTAAATGCGGGCCCACGTCCGCGTTTAGATTCTGGTACTAGATTTCCTGTAAATCATAAAAAAAAAAATTAAAAAATTATAAATCATCGGCGCATAAATCAACTCTAATTTCAATCACTATTTATAAGTCGACATAATATAGTTTCTGTTTGAGTTTATATTACTAGCTATTCAAGATTGTTGGGTACCTACCTAGGAAATAAAAATCAACTATAGGCTCACAAAAAGGTAATCTCTCCTCAACCCATTATTATAATTTTTTTAAAATTATTATTGTTCAATAAATATAGTGTGTATCGCATACTTGTAGTAACACAACCACAACCGTCATAGGGGTGAGAATTTATTGATTTATACCCTCAAAAAAAAAAAAAAAATTAGTTTATTATGAAAGTATAACTTTTTTCCGTTCAAATGCAGAAAAGGTTGGGGGGGGGGGTTAATTTATGTTTATTACATTTCTTCCTTGCTATACAATAGATATAGATCTATTAGATTAGTCTATTTTTTTGCTCTCGAGTACTGAAATCGCATCTAATAAGTAGTAAAAAAATAAACTCATGACGTAAGAAGAAAAATCTGTGGTTGTGCAACAGTCTGTTTAATATTATATAATAAAGGTTAAAATTTAAACCCGTAAAAGAAAGTTTAACGTTTAGTTTTTTATCAAATCGTTAAAAAATTATTTAAAAAAAAAACAAAAATATCAGTTATCGAATCCCTTGACCCAACGGGCAATGTTATTGCCAATGCATTTTTTTTCAGTTACACAATAAAACGTATCATTTATTAGACAACTTTGAACAAAAATTATAAAAGACAAACTTGTAAATATTTTGTTTGTCGCCTAATCCTTATGTATAGTAAACAATAATTATTGGAAATAACTTGTTTTTAGCTTTTTTTTTTTTATAAAATGTGATGTCAATTTTCCGCAAATTTTACTGGTCCTACCCCCCTCTCCGACTATAATTATTTTTGTATCAACTTTTCGAATCTTAAACGGTAACGCGCAAAACTTACCTACAAGTGTGGGTAAAGCCACGGCAGCCGGACCGGGGCCGGAAAATTCGGCTGCTATCGGACCACGTCTCTTGGTAGGGGTCCATTGTCTCTGCTGAAATCCGCCCATTTTCAAAAATGTTCTACTACCAAGTTTGCCTGTTGTATACCTGTAAAGAAGTTGCTCACAATAAACACACACGCAGTACACGTGTTGCCAATGTGACTTCAACGATATATTGGTCGTTCGCACTATAAGTACAAGACGTATACATATGAGTGGTATAAATGCAGTGTTAGTTTATTTATTGATGTTTTCAAGGTTTCCGTTTGGGTCACGACGAATCAGTTTTTTGTATTGTACTGCGCTGTGACTGTACCGATTTATTGAGTAAAGGTTATAGGGGACTTGGGGTCCATGTTAAATTACCGAGGAAAACATTTCAAACGATATTAGGGTGATCCGAAAAACCCTTGATTGAACTTTTTTTTTATTCTTCACTATAACTTTTTTATAAGTTTTACTATAACTATGTACTTTTATACCCTTTTGAACTAATAACTTCATAACTTTTTTTAATTCTTCTCCAAGGATTATGTTTTTTGAACAAAAAAAAAAAGTTTCACGTTTTATTTTTAAAATGGGTTTTAGAGGTGTCCATTTTTTAGATTATATTTTTTTCGCTTTTATAAAAAAATGTTTATGCAAATTGTCAGCATATGAAAATCAGATTTAAACATTTACTACCGACAAAACAACAAAGTAAAACACACATACTTAGAATTAAAACCATTTAAATTGAAATTGTTGGACAACAAAAAAACGTATTCTCAAGATAAAAACAAAATTATCTAGGTTACTTTGAATCACTGTAATATTTACGTATATGTTGCGTGACAGGTGCTGAAAACTAAAGCTATCGATTTGACATAAAAAAAAAAAAAACACCAGAACGAAACAGACAAAATATAATTTTGCTCGCAAGTTTGTCCTCGACAAATTAACTACAAACACGAATACAACGATAAGACACGTTATGCAAACTTTTCTTGTGCACTGTATTTACCTAGCTAATAGCTTTGCTCACTAGTTGTTTATTCGATTTTGTTATAAACCATGTAATATATATATATATATGTTCATAAACCATTAGTTTTGTAATAATTATCAATTATTATTATATTATACTACCTTACTTTACGACCTTGCGACCATTAAATGTTTCACTGTCATAAATTGTATAAGTAATCGTTTAAGAGTCGAGAAAGTTTACATTATTAAAACATTAAGTTGAGCTAATATTTGCTTAATAAATTAATTCCAGTTATTTTTATCACGAGGTTGTCCTCATTTTATATTCGTTTTGAAATAATATTATTTTATATTTTTAATTAAAAAACAAATATATATAAGATATGTTTATCAGCAAGTTACTTATCACTGACATATACAAGGCGTTTTTTTAAATGATCCGCTCAATATCTTAAAGGGTTTAATCAGTTATTGAGTTTTTTTTTCGGTGTTTTTATTAGCGATGGCAATCCGAAAATCCGGATTTTATTCTGAACGCTATTTAAAGCCATTTAAAAATTGTATACATTCTATTACAATATAAAGGTATGTGTACCTAAGTAAATTGTTCTAATGAGTTAAAAAAAAAACGCTGAACTTCAAAAATAAATGAGGGGGTTGAAAAATATGCGCATTGGTTATGCCCTATTGGAAAAAATGTTTTGACCCATTTTTGAAAAAGTGTATTCAAGTGTCCTCACGCAGATAAGTCGTAGGTGTTGACCTAATTTGTATGTGACCTTTTCCCAAACTATTGCATTGTACAAGGGGAAACACGTGAACTTTATTGTACTTGGACAAGTAGGTATAATAGATTATTTTTTTTGATTTCGTACCAGCCGGCTAAATATCATTGGCGACAATCACGCGATTTAAATGTTATTCGAAAGCTCATTTTATTATTATATTAAAACCTCCAATACGGTATTTCAACAGTAACCAAATATAATAAGTCCACTGCTTCATTGGTAATACTGTCCTGACTTGTTATACGTGTGCAGTTAATAATTGAAGTAAACAAATCAAAATATGTATTATGATCTGTGTGCATTCTCATAACTATACACTTGTAGCTACACAAAATCAACGACTTAACATCTCAAGTTGAGGACTTATTACATTTGGGCAAATACCAACATAGCTAATTATTACCATTCATGTGAAGTGAAAACAGTTAATATAGGTTATAGGACTTTACCTAGCATATAAAAAAATTAACAGAATTCAAATTTCTGTCAATATTGATATCAAAAAAGTGCATTTGGAAAAAAGTGGACTTATAAAAGGACGCGTGCACTGAGTCATCGACATTGTTGTCGTTTTGGTAAATGATTTTAAGTATCTAATAAAAACCAGTTGAAGAAGGCTTTCGGTTATTGATATAAATTACTTCAGACAACAGTAACAATTACAGGTGATGGGCGAGGGGGAGGGATGTTGTGCTCGAAGAGGCCAAATTGTCTACTTTAATATTTAAAATGGACACATCCGAGGGAGACGTATAAACGTTTATGAATACACAAACGGAATGATTATGATATATTGTTCTGTAGGACATCCAGGGGCGGTGTCTCAATGTGTTGGTAATTATTACTACAAATACAAATGGCAAGGTCGGCTAAGCGGAAGTGATTTCATCTCGAGCAAAACAGTCGGTTAAGTACAATGGGAAAGCCACGTGCGAGGGCGTCGACACGCATTGCCTGCTAAAAATGGATACAGAACCGATCGCACGGTCCGACTTTATTATACAGAGTGATTTTATTATCTTATACCGCTCAACATCATGTATGCTATTTAAAAGCCATTTGAAAAATCCTGTAAATACTATTACACACATAAAACTGTGTGCCTAAGTAAATTATTTTGATGAACATTAAAAAAGAAAACGCTCAACTTTGACAATAAATTGCTTTCGGATTTCGAATTTTCAGATTTCAGCAAATCCGAAATCCAAAAGCAATTTATCTTGATTATTCTTAAGTAAAAAATGTATTGAAATGTATATGCGTTACTACCATTTGAGTTTCAAAAGTTGATATAAAAATAATTAGTTTAGGAGGGGGAAGATAGGAACTTTTGAATTTTGAAATGCAAACTTGAACTTTTTGAAATTGAGATCACATTATATAAAAACTCTATGGAAAAAAAATTAAATTATTATAATTAAACCCAGCGAGATATTAAATGGCCTATGATAAAAAAAATCGAGCTGTATTAATCGGTCGGTTATTTTGTTCATAACATACGGTTCGTTTAATAGGAAATTACATAAAGCTCTAATTGCATGTCTTGACGAGCCCAAGTCAGACTTAGCTTTTATTGTTTTATAGCGCTATGAATAATATGTATGATTTATGATGTGTGTTTAATATTTTATTACGGTGGTTTAACGCCCTGTAAACAATGGCGAACTTTAAGTTCAGCCGAGTTGATACATTTACTCGACCTAATAATGAATCATAATACATAATATTGCTTAAGTTTATTTGAAATTGAAAATTTCAGCTCACAGTTGTCTCATGTGGTATTATACCTATTGCTTGAACGGTTAAAAACAGACAACGTTACCGTCTCGCGTGGGAACTTTGAAAGGAAACAGTGTTAAAAAAAAACCAAAAAAACTTGTATGTTTTTCAGGATGTTATGTAAAATGTGATTTTTAACATATTTAATTGTCTTTGCACGCGAAATGGGCGTAGTCTCCATTGAACTCTATTAGATTTTCGAAAACAGCTGTATTGGTCTTAATACTTAACATCTGACACGTTTCCCAGTAATTTACCTGAGAAATCGAAAATTACTGTCAAATGTAAATATAGGTTAGACCGGATGCTTTTAGCGTTACACTTTTAAGTGTTGAAAGCCTAATAATACACTATTGTTGTGTACAAACGTTCAGAATTGTTATTATGATGAATAGTTTATATTTTATAAAAAAAAAATCAAATTGCTGTGTCGGCCAATTTTTTTAAAATTAAAAGTGATTAATTATAAAAAAAAAATGAATAGCTAATTTAAATAAGGTTTAATAATTGGTCCCATTAAAGTATTTATTGAAGCAAAATGATTGAAATCCTTCAAATATTGATTATATACAGCAACTTGTTAAAACCAAACCATGTTAATCCAAATCGTTAAGTTAATTTATCTAGATCATATTACAGATAAAGTTATATCTAAAAGATAATATACAAGTACGTTGCCAGTTGGGTTACTTCGAACAGTATGTGGCTCTAACGTTTAACTACTATGTAAAGACAAATGTTAACGTTTTTTTTAGTGTCCCATAACTTTAACTATTGCAATGTAATATTTAAATATTTTAATGAATTAAATTAAATATATTAAAGTATTTCAATATTAAATTGCATAATAACACATTAATATTACATTAATAATACAGATTATTTGAAATGTTTGAATGAAATGCACTTTATTTGTTAATAAATATTAAAGTATTTAAATAAATATTATTTCCGAAAAATAATTGTAAAAAAACTATCAAATAGTACAATTATGACATTATAAAAAATGCTCATAAAAAATATATTTTCTGTTAGGTCTGTCAACATAATACCGTGCGGTCCTAGTGAGCTTTACTCTCTCTCTAGGTTCTTCTAGTCAATTTAGTGCCTTGTGTGATGGGTATCTCAGCCTTATACATATTATTATTATTATTATCATTGTATTGCGGGAAAGTGCAGAATAATACACAATGTGTGTCATGAGTCAGCGTTAAGTGTTGAAAGTGGAAAGACTACACCGGGCTATTACGGGGGCGGCCAGGTTAAGGTTGACGGCGGTGTGCGAAGGTGTTGTTTCATGATGATATTATAATATGTAATACCGCCAAGAAGGGTAACCGACCAATCTACAGTGGAGATATATTTTATAGTGCTTTAGATGATGTATAATATATAATATATATTATATTTTTTATATCTATACAGGGTGATCGATCCGACTCATTTTCTCAGAAAATACGAATGTTATTTGTTTCCTATATTTGTAGGTACAATTTATAGGTTTCAAATACTTAGAACATTTTTATCTACATCGCTTTCAGGTAACAGAAGTATGGACTTGTTTTTTTTTGGAAACGGGACAACGATTTTTAAACAATTTTGGCGTTTGGATTGCATCGACCTGTTCGTTTGCTAAGACTTTCCAAAGACAGGTAATTGGCATTTCCGCTTACAATTGTAACGCATCTTTCAAAAAACCAGTAGCCGTCACTGTGTTTCTGCGGGTAGGTTTCTTGTCTGTCATTATCATATAAATATGCATATTATGGGCTACTGGATTTTGCAAAGCCATAGCAAACAAACAGATTGATGTAGATAACAAGGTTGAAAGTATCGAAAAGTATGGTAACATATTATATGAGAAACCGATCAGTGTCTCGCATCGAATTGATCACCCTGTATAAATCGACAACGTTTTTTTTTAATAACGCCTTTGGTGGGTATTAACTATTATTATTAAATATTGAAATATTAGCATGTTAAGCATACTCTCTGCCGCGGATTCGGCGTAGGTTGGTCAACGAGTGGGCCGCATCGTTTGAGCCTTGATATGACCTTTTTTGGGCAGACCCTCAAGTATATTAGAGCTCTCGGTCACCGATCTTTTTCGGCCATATAATAATACTTATTACAATTCTTATTAGGTGTTCATTTTCATTTTTTTACCCTTGATGCCGCTAATTTCTGTTTAACCTCCAGGTTAGGCTTGAGCAACAAAATAGAAAGGTTCGAAGTTTGACAGGAAAACGAATCATGATTGTGTAATATTTAATAAAATAGTTATTTTTCCCACAAAATCGGTTTTAGTCGACTAATCATATTATAGAATATTGCAAAATAGATTGCTCGGTCTAAGTATAATCATTATCGGCTCAATTGAGTTTGTTGTCGACTAGACTAGACCGGGGAAAATAATTTTATATTACCTAAATCCGTGTTTTAATATTTTATCCATAGGATCACTTGGCAGGAGCATGATTTATGTTAAGACGGATAATTTAACCGCTGTTTTACAACATCATAATAATTATTGAAATCATCGTAAAAAAAACTACCAATTATTATTCTTGCCATAACTACATTCAATTGATCAACTCGACAATAAACAGGTAAAGGTTAGAAATTGTATGATTTAATTGGTTTTATAAATGTTGAAATGGAAATTATTCTAATTTCCAGCAAGGTTAATCAGTTTGAAACAATAATATCATCGAAGAGCTTGGCTTGTAAACTAAATTGTTTTTTTTATGATTTCAATCAACAGCTGTTATTAAAAGACAGTAATAATATTGTAAACAAATAGGAATAAGTGTTAAAATGTTGTGTATTCTGTTGCTGTGTTTTATTTAATTTTTTTATTGACTTATTTTGTATTTTTAAATTGTAAAAAATCAACAACTATCTTCTGCTCTATTCTAGAACGGCCGACGTCCTAACCCGACTTGACCCTGATCGAAATGGAACCTACCTAATAAAATATACATGCGATATTGTTGTGTGGTAAATCAATAATATAATAATTATTGTTTTACACGGTGTTTGTATAAATGCGAACGGCCCGACCGGGTAGGCAATCGACTTAGGTCGGTAGTTTAGTTAGTGTGAAAATTAAATTTAAAATAAAACCTAACCACCTATACAGGGTTATCAAACGGATATAAGACACACAAAACATGAATATTTCGAAAATGATTTTCCCCCCATACTTGTAGGTTTTACACATTTTACTATATTTTTCAATACTTAGACAAGAAGTACTTAGAAGACTTAGACAAGTTTTATCTTTATCACTCGTACGTAAAAGAAGTATGGACTTGGGTTTCTTTCCACAAGGAACATATGTTTTTAATTCTACAAATATGTAGACGACAAATTAAAAAAAAAAAAAAAATGTTATCGCTTAAACTTTTCGTTTTCATCAATCAGTTGATGTGTGCTATGATTAAGTAAGGATTTTCATTTATGTTTCAAAACCGTTGTCGATATTCTTTCGTTATTACCTACAAGACTAGTAGTCGCCGCCACTGTGTTTGGCGCTGTCTTTGAAAACCCAACGGATATTTTAATCTTAAATAATTGAGAAATCTTTACAAACACATTAGTCGGACGAACCGATTGTCGACAATTAAAAATTCAAACGACAATTTCGAATTGTAATTCTTTTCACTGCCCAGTCGTGTGACTCGAAAACTCGCGTTTGCGCGTAAGTATGGATACCATCATGTATAAGTTGAAAAAAAAAATTAAAAACAAAGTAAACCTCTTACCTGGGCGAGTGCTGTGTGTTCGGGAGCACGGGCACAACTGAAACGGAAACGGTTAACAGTCGCTCTTTTTGGGCCACAACAAATGTGCTAAACTTCAGCCATACAAACAAGCAAGCCCACGCCCCGACGACGGCGTGCCCACGCGAAAACTGCTCATACCCGACCAGCGGCAGACCGTGTGAGTGCGTGTCAGGTCTGCTATTCGATTGCCATTGTTTTTGCCATTTGTCGTTTTGCCCGTTTAACGCTAAATTTGGTCAAACCGTATAATGCCATCGCGAATAATATACATATATTATCAATACAAACAATACTATTATTATATCCTCATCAACACACACACACACACACACACAGCCAAATAACGTTCCAACTTTATATGAGCGAAATCTTGGCTCTCCAGCATTCAAGTCACTGCGCGGTCGCTTTGCATGTGCAAATTTTCTTATTCGAATAACTGAGACGCTTATTAGGATTGACACGATAAATTGTGTTTTTTTTTTTTTACCAAGAAAAATGTATAGTTTTGCGTAGTACATATTATACCATTTAACGGGTTGGTTCAATTTATAAAATATTAATTTCAAATATACAAATTCAGCCTGGGGAATTTTTTAAAAGTTGTGAAATTACGCCTTTGTTCTAATCAAGACTTTTAAAATTGCAACTTTATATTTATTTATTAATACTGGAAACTGTATGAAAATGAAGTATAACATTTTTATTCCATATCGTGTATAATATTATATAAACATGCTAAAAAAAAAGAAAAACATAAAAATGTCATATAGAAAACAATATTTTTTTATTTTTTTTATTTTTACACGTAATAAACAATCTGTATCAATTATACTAGACATAATAAGAATATGTGTTAAATGTTATAAAATCATGAAGTTTTGTTGAAAGAAGCCACTCATTGATAACACTTTCTGTTAACTTGCTATTAATTTAAATTAAGAGATCTCGACACCGAAAACAATATTAACTTTGAGAATATTATACAACTCTCAAAAGTAGTTAACGCAATATTTTACTTTTAATCACAGTTGTACTAACAAAGTCCCAACTTCATTGATTGGGCCCTTTTTCTAATAATAAAATTATTTTACAGTACCAATATTCTACCACGATATCAAATTAAAAAGAAATGTTTGTAAGAAAAAACGAATTTTGCAAAATAACCTAATTGGGCTCTTGTTCTAATAAGTGCCCTCAATTATAATATTATATTAATTGAAGTTATATTCTAATGGCAAATTATTTTACCGGTTCATTTGGTTGAAAACTGTAGTCAAACTTGTATTTTATTAAAGGACCCCCACCCCCCCCCCCAAAAATATGAGAAATTACAATATTTTACCAAAGTCAATTTCCAGGTTGCTATGTGTGAGTGAACCGACAGTCAACAAGTAATGGAAATATTTGCATTTATTGTTAGTTATGATATTGTATGGGTAACTATGGCAATACAAATTTATAGACAGTCGATCAACCCCAATCGTATCCGCCCTAATACTAAATATTGATTTTTAAGCACACAATTGCCATTAGGTACAACGCTTTTAACGGTATTTGCATTTTTATCTGTGAACACCGGATCTTCCTTACATACTCACTTACTACCCACTACTACTAGTACTACTTACTACTACTTACTTATGAATAAAACGTTCTTACTGTGCTTGGTTTGGACCGTACTGGTTTGAACTTACTATTTTTTAGTTAGATGGTTATATATATAATGTATAATATTAGTGGTAACAAAAATGTTCGGTCGATAATATACTATTATGTTAATAATTTATTTAGCAAATAAGCATCTAAGACGATTCACGGCAAACGCTAAAGTGGACCAAAATTTTGATTTTAATTTGTAAACCTGGGTCTTTAGTTACCTATGTTAATTTTTTTTTCGTATGATTGTGTACTATTCAAATCACTATCTGCCGTGCAACGAGTTTGACTCGGATATTTTAACTGTGTATTATATGAAGCATGTTTTCAATTGATCAAATATAAATACTAATTATAAATAAACAGAAAGGATCAACCTATGTACAATAATAATAAACAACCATTGTTATTTTATATTGCCAAATGTTCTTATTGTCGAGTGTACACGAAGGCTTCGCGTGTAGCGCTAAATGATTTTAATAGTTTTAATAATAATTTTAAATTAATTGTTCGTGGATTACTTTTTTATTTTTCGTTATCTAGATAAGATAATAAGACAATAATACAAATAATATTTATCTCGGTGATATAATGATAATAATTGCTATTATGTAGAAAGGTAATTTGTATAGATAATTTTATCTGGATAATGCACAACACTGCCTGTAACGCAGAAACTCCACAAGTCTTTAAAAGACTCATTTTGTTAGTTCTTGGCAAAACATATTTAATAAATTACAACAACAAAGTTAACAAGTTAACTCTTTGTCCTCTGAACGGATTGGGCGTAAAAGCCATTTTCAAACACTGAAAAAAAAGGAAAGAAAAACTTAAGAATACACACAGGCTTTGGGCCACTTTAGCGACATCATTTGTCATAAAAAGTACCAAAAAAAAAAAAATTGACAAACTGCTTAAGATTTTAAACATAATCGATGACCATTTGTCGTAATACGCCAACTTAAAAAGTGGGCAGCGTTAATTCAGAAAATAAAAATTAGCATTCTACGTTCATAACTGTCGAAAATGTACATATGAAAAAGAAGAAAGTGTAGAACTCTGATTATTTATTAAGTTTGTTAAGATTTTAAAAACTACATGAGATTTCAATTATACTTTATTTTCTCCTGTTCGATTAGAATTAAAACGTTACATGTATTTTAAAATATGTAATACAACAACACTTTTAGATTGACAAGTTGTATGATCAAATTAAACATAAATATTTCTTTCTTTTTTTTTTTGTATATTTTTATTGAAAATGAAACGTAGAGCTGATTACCAACAGGGAGGGGAATTATCTATTGTAAATATTCTTTTATCCTAAGCTATACATTATACTTGGAAAACTTTTAAACATTTTACAATAAGAAAAAACTACCATTTCCTTAGGGGTTTATTTTTGGATTTAAGGATTACAATAATTGGCATGTAGTAGATTTATATATATAGAATAGGTATCGATAGACGAAAACATGGTCAAATTTGTTTTATCAACATTTTGTTTTCAATTTTTATTAGCATTTCCTACAACTATAACTTATAGCTACCGAATAATTTGTATAACATCACAGGTTTTTATTTAATTTTAATATTACATAAAACACTTAAGATATAATAATATAATCTAAAAAAATATAATATTGTTTTTCTACAAACAAGGAAATGTTTTTTTTATGTCGGTTATTATTTTATTATAAGGTTGTTCGAACACGTGTGTTCGATGCGAATAAATAATAACAATAATAATTAAAATAAGTAATAAATATTCCATTTTTAAACTTAGTAAGTATATATCATTTTTTTTTTTGTTTAAGATTATCGTTTGATACGGGACGCGTTCGCACTTTCAAATAATTAAGCTGCAAGACAAAAAGGTTTCACTCATCCGTTTTTACTACTTAAATCGCAATCACAACTCGTCTGACTTTCCCCATTTAAAGGTTTTTAATTCAAAGGAAAAACAAATAAAAGTTCTCTGGAAAAAAAATTATAATTTAGATTCAACAAAATGAAATAAAAAAAATTCAGGTAAATATTATACAGACAAGTATAGTATAATAATGACAAGTACTCATAACTGAAGTTTAACTAGAGACAGAAGAAAACCAATTTCAGAACATTGTTATTCGAAAAATAGTGTTGAAATAAAAATTGAAAAAAAAAATTCAAATAAACAACCGAATTATATTCATAATGACCGACACAAAAAAAAAAATACATAATATACTTAAACGGGTTTGCCGTCGACGAGGTAATAATAATAGTAATAAAAATAATCATTGATTTTAGTAAATAATCAAAAATAATGAACTAAACACTTTAACAAGAGTACACTGCGTATAATACTATATAATAATAATAATAATAATATGTATATACTTATATGGTAAACGAAAATAAACGCCATAAAAATATAATCTATTATGTATATTTTATAAAAATATTATCGATGAGATGGTAGTATTTGTTTTTAAATTTAAATAAAATTCATTTGTCACCACGCTACTGGTCTATAGTTTTTATTATTATTTAAAATAAAGATTTTTCAGATATATAGGTATTAATATAAGTCATACTCAAAATTGTAGGTATAAGTACCTACCTGTATTATTATTACTATTATAGTGAGCACTTCACTAAAAATACAACACAATATTATTACACTACCTATTGTTTCAAAGACAATGTCACATGGTTCAATGTAAAATACAATAATACATTTATTCGTAATAAACGGTAATTATTGGTTGTTTTTTTTTTAATGTATACATTGTCATAGATAGAACACTAAAATCAACAATGACGGATATGAATTTGTAATAGTTCAGTCTAAAAAATATATAACTATACATTAATTTATTCATAATACACCTGCACTTGTAAATATCTATATATATATATATATAAATATATATACATACATATTTGCACTTATACTATAATATTGATCAGTTAATTCAAAGTTACTATCGACAATTTGAAATTAATAATATTTTCGTTTTCACAAATATTTATATTATATGGATTTTTTTTTTACAGTTAAATAAGTATTAATTACACACATATATATTGTATTTTATTAAAACTACATCACAAAGTTCCAGTTTTAAATAATTTTTTCATATCATACACACTATTATATTAATATTAAACAATATGATCTATAAATGCAAATCGCAAATCAAATTTACACAACGAGGAACGTTTTTTTTAATATTAATACATCATTTATTGTAACCAGTATAATACATCAGTAAAATATGTCTTATAGTAGCCAACTGAAATGGTATTTTTCTCAAATAAATTTTATGTAACAATGTATTCGAATATTTTCTTTTATTCTTATTGGAAATCTTTTTTTTTAAATCTTTTGTTTTAATATGTGTTATTAAGCGTTTTAATATGTCTATTACAATTTATTTTTTCTTTACTTGTATCGGCAAAAGTATTATCTATGAGTACATCATGTCATACATCTCTATTTGACGTTTATTGCCCAACTATAGTATAAATTCAGTTAGTCGTTACATTCCAAATGTATTAAACTATTGCTATGATATATTTAAATGGTCGGTAGAGTAATTGATTTGTTTCTCTAGCAGCTATATCAGTTATCAACCGGCAATGATAAAATATTTAAACCATTCCAAGGTGAACAAAACAAATGTATTGATTGTTACAAATTACTGGCGTGGAAATGGAATTTTTTAAGTTTTTTTAGGTTAATTTTTGATTTTAACTAAAAATAAAAAACAACTGAATAATCTTTAGAAAATAAAAATATGATATAATTTAAAGAGTAAAATAAAAATATTAAATTAGGTAATAAATAATAATAATACTACTAAAAATACAATTATTATGTTTTTAACCGTTACTATGGCAAATGAAAAACATTTTGGATACATCAAACAAGCAAACAATCTATAAAATATAAGAACGACCGCAATTACTGTTATGTATATATATATAAAGATTGGTTTATAAAATATAGACAATACCACCGAATACGACGCATACGCGATCACTAACTGAATGAAAAAATATTGAGCAACAAGAATAAAATATAGGTATCTCAATTTGTTTAGTAGGTAGTTTATTTTATAATACATATTATTATAATATTAGTTGAAATTGTAGGCGAGTTAAGTTTCTTACAAGGTCATAACTACCCTACAAGTAGTAGTGTACGCATAAAATTACTTTGAACTGCTTGACCAACGTTAAGATTTTAATAATTAATATAATCTAAGTCAATAATAATTTTTTTTTCCGAAATTCTCTGTTGCACCCTAGTTAATCAGTACAAAATAGTTATTGTCATTTTTTTTTTTTTTTTAAACATTACTGGACTCTAAGATGAATTGACAACGCTAATATTGCTGTTCTGCCTGAAGATGAGTTGTGTCTCGCCTGCCGTCGTTGGTTACTTGCGCACGCGTCTTGCTCCCTCGCTCTCTCTCACTTGCTTTCACTCTTTCTTCTCTCAATGCCTCAGCTCTTTGACGATGTCGATCATGCTGGAGTAGACGCCGGTGACCAATCCCAACAGGCCGAAAGCAATGATGATAAGGTTCTTCCACAACCGCCAGTATAGTGTGCCCATGCCCGGGTCGTCCCAGCACGTCACCAGGTCGATGCAGCTCGGTATTATCAGCCCCAAGAACGACAGGCACAGCGCTCCGACCAGCGATATGAACGGCCCAAGGTTTGGTATGGCGATGGCTAGACCCACTGCAAATCCAAACATGAATCAACAAGGTGAATAATATTGCGTTAGGTTAGGGTTGCGGCGGTCACCGACTACGAGCCACTAGCCCATAGGCTATGTCTAAATAGTTCCCAGTACGATTTAAGATAATATGGTTGCCCGACGGCCTGAAAATATTGTCCGCTTGGAACGCTAGTCACTCTGTCACAAGCGGTTAGACAATCATATTATCTCAAATCGTGGTTCCCAAAGGGGTTTCGTCAGAGATGCCAATGAAACTCAACGTCCTGGGCAGTATTGCAAATGAATAAGACAGGCGGCTTAAGAGCGAGGAAAAATAATTGCACGAATGGAAAAAAATACCTCGGCCTGAACCGAATCGGCATTGCATCAACATGAATTTGTCAAACATAAATGGACATTTCTCTGGCGCACAAACGCAACGTGGTAACAGGTCTCGGAAATTCATCGGATTAAAAGATATCTTCCTCTTTCTAAAGATAAAACTAAGCTAAAGGAGCAGTGTTTTAATGACGTTCAAACGGAAGCAGCCTGATAAGGAATGTTTATAAAATTGTCAATCACTGAGAAACCCGTTGTACGAGCGAAGAGTGCAAGAAGGTATTGAACACGATCCGGGAAGTTATGTCACACATACTTCTTACATACGTAATTGTACAAACATTGAGCCCAAATGACGAAGACTGTCCCTGAGAATAAGTACCCTTTCAATATAAGCGCATGACATGGTGTGCACGCGGTTTGTTGTTTGATGATCGTGACATTACCTGTGCCTATGACTAACGCCACTCTGAGCAAATATTCGAAAAGCACCGGATGCGATGTGAACCGGTGTTTCGTGGCTTTCCAGATGATTTCAAATGGCACGTAGAACTGCAAGCTGTACGTGAGGAATATGGCGACGGCTATCATGATCTTGACGGATTGCGCCAACCTGCGGTGGTTAGAATTACATGAAATTAATCCTACTGACATTATTCGACCAAAGCAAAAATGCGAGCAATTTACAATTCGTGTTGTGGAAGGTTCAGCGTTATGCTGGCTTGGGTCTTGTCTCCGTATTTCATGTAACCGAACAGACCGACGGTCGAGTATAGCACCACCACGATGGCCATGCCGATGTTGAGTACGCTCGGGCAACCGATGAAGTGCTGAGGAGTTTTCATGCTGTTTTCCAACGGCATCACCTGTGGGAAAACCGTGAGTATTATGTTGACTTAATCCGCAATGTGGGTCACGAGCGTTGTACAGATTTTGGCTGATCTGTCAAAGGCTCGTGGATCCACATCGGGTGCAGCCGAATCACAGTCGTTTGAGAGACAACACGAGTCATGGTTTTTGACAAAATCACATTATTGCGGATTTCGATTGTCACAAACCCTTTTCTGGGTCCCCGAAATTGTTCGTGTACCGTTGGACTCAGACCCTTCCTCGAACGAACGCGGTTCATCAATTGCCAATTGCATCGGTCGCTGTTACCATTGTATTGTAGATTATACAGATACGATTTTATGTGGAATTCCCTCAATGGAGACAACAACGGAGATACCCTCGTCATAGTTCACCGTCGACCTATGACGAGGGTATCCGCTGCCAGCAGGAATCCCACATAAAAACGGCGACCGATTTTGTGTGTAGCACCGCTAGTCTGTATATTATTCTAAAATCAATGGTAACAGCAACCAATTCTCAATTGGCAATCGACGTGTAAGGTTTGTGTAGCACCTGTTGTGTGCATGTTATATTCTAAAATCAACGCTGTTACTCACGACGCCGATTCCTTCCAGGGCGAAGATGGCGGTGCCGAAGAACAATGGCCACAGGTGCCAGTCGGCCATGTACGGTAACGATTTTGCGGACGGCACGTCTTGGAACACATACCAGAAGGTGATGCACATGCAAATGCCCACCAAAAAGTTGGCGATCATCGAGAACGGTGCCAAGTACTTCAAGTTTCGGATGAGGTTCATGACGACCACCAACGGCAACAGCATCAACATGTACCATCTGACGTTCATCTCGACCACGTACACGTCCATCACCTGAAAAGTCAACCGTATCGATCAAATGCCGCGTTAGTGGACCCAGGCTGGGACGTTGTCAAGTGGGTTTTATCGGTATAGCGTAAACGGTAAGTCGTTCGTCGGATTTTCGCAATTAATTACACCAATTAATTCATTTCCGGACGATGTTAATTTATGGCTTGTCACGAGAACGTGCAACGAACTTCATCTCAAACACATTAACAATGCCGTCGTGTGGCGTTGACCCAGTTCAAAAACATTTCCTTATTCGCACAAACACAGCAGCAAATTTGAAAATAATCACGTTTTGACAATGTCAGCCGGACAACTTGTAAACACACGGAGCCAAAGTATATTATACATTTTTGAAATAAAATATAAAAAATACCTTCTTGCGGATAGGAAAAATCGACAATATTTAATTTCAACCGTTGAAATCTTTTAACCGTATGATGTAAACGTTAAAAAACAATTTACGGTTTTTTGTTTCATTGATTGCCCTATTTTCTTACAATTACACCGGCTAACACTAATATTGGACCTAACGGACATGGTATTCTTTATTTGTATGTCCATTAGTAGTAGGTCGCAAAGCGTAATCATAAACATGGTTTCTCATATAATATTATTTCATAGCGAAAATTCAAATCGATCATTTGTATTGATAACTAAGATATTTATTTCGAAACGAACCGACATGCTCGACCTATAAAAAAACCCAATTAAACTGGTATGCGCCAATTCAATGATGACTTTATAATAATTACTGTTAAATCATAAATAAAAAACTTTGAAATAATTGTGATTTTTTTCTCAGTATTGATATAATAATCTTATAGTATATCATGTTTAAATATTTATGTATGAACGGGCCCTGTGTCCTAGATTAAACGTCGTTTCTCTGATAATTACATTATACTAATTATAAATCATCATGATATGCATCAATGAACGATATGAATAAACGCATTTATTTCGTTTAATCGACGGCGTTAATATCGATCAGCAATGGACAAAACTGCTTTAAAAGAGCAATACAATTGTTTTAATAAATTAACAATATTGTGTATTGTGATTACCTGTTTTAAATTTTGCGACACGAAAACAATATAAACACAGCAACAACCGAGTAAATCAATAGTTAGGAACGTGTTAACGAGACCTCTGAAAAAAAAAATTCATATATTTCAATAAAAATAATAATAATGATATAATACATCAATGCCGTTGTCATTATTAAAATATTATGTGTATTATTATACTTATCCATCGATCAAAACATATTATAATAGGTAAATGTAATAAAACCACACGGATATGGTATTATATAAAGCGGCATTCGTTAAAAAAATCTAAAAACCTAGTTATTTTCTCTGCTCCATAAAAAAACATTTAATCATGGATATGTTATCTCTTATCATCTATCATCACAGACATATATAATAAACAGCTATATTTCTAAGTGTACATAGCGATAACTGAAGTTACCATTTTTCACCGTCTTTGTGGGAATTAAAATCGTATCACACGAAAGTATGTTTATAACAATTACAAGTTAAGTTGATAAAACGGAATCACAAATATATATAAAAATATTTTATACACACATAAATCCCACAAAAATGGCGGACGTCGACTTCCATTCTTAACACTAGTTAGCAATCTAGTTTGTTGTATATATATATATATGTTTATCATTTATCTCTTATCACGTAAAAGTAAAAGTTTAACGTGAAAATGGTGACATGAAATTTCTTGTAACCAGCTCTATAACAACGCTATGCTAAAAAAAATATAAATCTCTCCACTACTTACCTAAAGAGTCCAGCAAATTTTTGGAAGGCCGGCGGCCCTGCGAGAAAGGCAACTTCAGCCACATCGGCAAATCCCAGCGCGGGCACTTGCATTCTGCGGCATAATTTATGCGAACATTTAACCTGGAAATAGATATGTAATATTTAATGTGAGTATATTCAAGTGGTTTTTAATGATAATCATATTTTTAAAAGTATATAACGTTAGAAGGTTTTTGATTATCATTCTAAATTGTTTATGATAAGGCTACGCTGTATTTTCGTAGTCTATCTACTTGTCTCTAGCTCTTTTCCACTCTCATCAATATAGAGGATAGCCGGTCCTTGCACCGGACCTTCAATTGCAAGTTAAACTTACCAATATATGGACACAATATGTACAAATGAACCCGATGGTAGCGGTGGCGACGAGTCCGAACACTAGTCCGGCGTTAAGAAAAGCCAGAGGCATGGCCAATATGCCCGTGCCCAGACTTCCTTTCAACAGGTGTATAAATGTTTCCATGTCCCTGCAAAGGCACGATACAATTTGTTATTATAATATATCGGCTCTCTAAAGGGGGGGTTCACAAAAGAGATGTAAGTACGTCGTAGGGTGTTGAACCATCCGGTGGTCGAATGGATTGTAGCCGCCCAGCTCGGCATCCTTGCTGTTGCTCGACACCAATGGTAGCGTTGACCCATTGGTTTGTGTCACCGGCACGCCGTTTGATGAACATTTGTACCTGTAAAACAAAACACAATGCAAATGAAAATCAATTTAGAGTGCATAATATATTAACTATTGTTTGTTGTACAAAACATTGCGGATAATGTAGTGTTAGTACCAAAGGGAAATTCCCAAAAGAATTAGGTGAGAGACTTGAAGAGTGGAGAGCAGCGCTTGAAGGGAAAGGACTGAGGATCACAAAACGGAGACAATCGTGTTTGATTTTGGAGAAAGTTATAGGGAAAAACAGGTAACGCAGATGGGCGATGATGAAGTGTGTCAGGTTCAAGTGCTTAGGAACGGTAGTACAAAAAAATGGTGGGTGTGAGAAGAAGGTGAAAAATAGGATAAATTGTGGATGGATGAAGTCGAAGGAAGCGTCAGGTGTTTTGTGTGACAGGAGGCTGCCCATACGATTGAATGGTAGATTTTATAAGATGATAGTGCGGCCAGCAATGTTGAATGGATCGGAATGTTGGGCAGTAGACAAGAAAACTGAACAAAGAATGAGTGTAGCGGAGATGAGAATGCTATGGTGGACGAGTGGGGTAGGTACATGGGAGAATTGGATAAGAAATGAATATATAAGGGGGAGTCTAGGAGTTACATCAATATTGTGGGAAAAATAAGAGAGATTAGATTGAGATGGTTAGGTCGTATTATAGGGAGAAATGAGGCAGCAGAGGCAGTGAGAGTTGTTATGAAGATAAACGCAGAGGGAAAGATAGGAAGACCGAAGTGAAGATGGATAGATGGTATAGAGAGTTATATGAGGAAAGCTGTGGTGATTGAACGAGATTTAGAAGATCGAGCACTATGGAGGTGTAGGACTAGGATGACCGGCCCCGTGCAGTTGGGAGTATAAGGCGAAGACGAAGAAGACGTTAATTATTATCATTGAACGATGTGCAACACTGAATTTGTACAACGCGCCGTACAAAGAACCCTTTGTATTAATCAAGATGTTTGATGTAGGGGTTCGTAATTCCCATAGTACACCACAAATGTTAATAAGAGAACTTGAGAACTTGTCATTTAGGTCGCACTGTATTTTATCGTTTTAATGACATCTATAGGGTCGTTAGGGTGTCCATCGGACTTATTAGGGTCAGGAAATACACGGGGGTCTTATTCGTGTTTGTATCGAATGGTTCCGAAAATAGTTAGATTTGAACACTTATATTTTAACGAATCCATATTGAGAAATTTTATTTTACACATTGTAGTATAATTCGTTTTTTTTTTACATTATTTAAATTTTGTTTATACAAGAGTACCGATAAAATAATGACAATATAAAAGACATGTTTTTTTAAAAAAAAATATATAAAAAATAATTATAATATAACATGAATTAATATTATCAAATAGAAAACCAAACATAATCGACAATTGTTGTATGTTTTGTTTCTTTTGAACATGCATTCATAAGCATGTATATTTCGGTTTCGATTAGAGTATAGATTTCCGGGTCCTATACATAATTAAATGAAGTAATTCGTCATTTTTAATGTAATAATAGAATATTAATGAAATGCGATAACAAAATGTGTTGTAGCTATAGTAACATAACCTAACCTAATAAAACCCGACCATTGGACTTGTTTACGTTCGACCTGACCTTACATACTACCGTGAACTTTAAAAACAATTGTAATCATTTTTTATTGATTTTTCTTTTTTATAAGCAGAACAAACCCAATGAGTTATGTCATTTAATTTAAATGGATGAACTTGAAAAAAAAACGTGATTTATAAAATTGTATTTTGGTTTTTGTTTGATTTGAACACATAAATAAACGTACGCTATATCGATAAATACAATAATAAGCGTTTATTATAAAATCATCATCAAGCTTAACGGGCTTCAAGGCCCAATGCTATAATAAAATAGAATAATAATAATTGTGGAAAAAAAACATTAATCGCTGTATCTATAATTTGCACTACGGCAAGAGAAAAATATATTTATTTAAAATAACAAACAGGCCGTACAAAAAGATTTATTTGCAATAAACAAAATTACCTAATCACACTCGACGATTAGATATCTAATAAATGTTATTAATTTATCAATCCAACATTAAAGGCCTCAGACAAGAGTATGATTTAACACTGATCGACATTGAATTTAAATACACAATTTGTTTTCTTTCAATTAACGGTTTAATCTACAAAAGGTACTCAATACAAGTAACAAGCGTTTTAATCTGTTCGTCCTTTTTTTACGTATAAAATATTATTATGTAATAACCGGCACGCGTTGCACATTAATAAAACATTTGATTTTTTTTATTGAAATCAATTCGGATTAGCCCGCACAATAAAGATAAATGATTTATTTTTGGAAAAAAAAACGTTTTGCCACTGCCATTGCCATTTCCGAGGTTATTACAGTACAATGTATTGAGTATAAATAATAATAACAGTAATAAAAACTCGAGTTCGAATACTACATCATAGTAAATGGTCGTTACTATTGTAAGTAAAACGGTTTTCTAATTTAAAGTATGGTGCAGTTTTCAATAAACAGAAAGTTCATCGAACCTTGTAAATGTAAAATAGAAACGAAACGCAAATTGCTTAGGTCAAACCAACCAAACTGAACTAACCGAATGCACAGCACTTTGTCCGAAGCGCATACATAATATTAACTTTTTACGATACCATAAAAGTACAATGTGGGTGTGTTTAGACGAAGGGAGAAACACAACCGACTACATTGAATTGTCCACTCGGTATTAACCCAAAGAGTAAAAATATAAATAGTTTTAACATCATAAAACGTCCTGTAGTCGACAATGAAGCAATCAAGAAGGCGAGTGACAGTGTGACCACTTTATATAAAAAAAATACTTTTTTTCATAGGTTGTTCAGACCAATAGATAAATTCGAATTTCATATGTAAATGTGATTATATTTTACTTATTGTCACTCTCCGATGGTGGCCACGGTGGCTAGGGACGGCTTGGACTTTACAGGTAAGTGTACCTCAGAATACACAGTGAGTGTAATAATGAGATGGTTAGAAAATGGAGCTCGGAAACCTGATAGTGAACAACGAGCACAGTGGACAAATTGAAGTATTAAGGATGTGGCAAGTATGTAATAAAATGAGGTTGTCCCAGGGGGTCGCAGTAAGTAAAATGTCATGAAGTAAGGAGAGCCGCAGTGTGACCAGAATGACGAAATTACATTTCTCTGGTACATATTTTGAATTCGTTTCTCTACAGTGACTATGTTATACACAACGTGACGTCTTATCAGTTATAATGTTATCACATTTACTTATGAAATTTGCATTTATCCATTGATCTGTATTGTCGATAAGGATTATACTGTGCAATGTTAAAGCACTTTTTAAAGTGGTCACCTTCTTGATTACTTGGTTGCTGCCGAGTATAGGGCAGCATTTTATGATGTCACAGCTATATATATTTTTACTCTGTGTGTTGTCCTAAATAAAAATAGACAATTTTGATAGTTTGGCAGACGAAAAGGTGTCAAGAGGACTAGCGTTTTTCATGGAGCTTACATATTTTTTTATATATTAATACTTGTTGTTTTTAGTTACCTGCTGATATGAACAAGACATGTTTTTGGCTTGAGTAAATATGTAATAAATAATAATAAAAAAAATTCGTACTTAGTATCTGAGTGTGTGTGTGTGTGTGTTTTTCTGAATAAACATGGCAAAAACGAGCGTGGGAGAAGAGTTTGACGGTCGATTGTGTTCTGGCAAATAAATGAGGTTCACGTGCAAATGTTTTTTCGTGACACAGAAAATAACTTTGCTATGTTAGTGCCGAAAGGTTTACCCAAAACACAACACAACATAAGAGCGGACCAATTTCATCTAAATACAATGTTGGATTTTCGATTGAGTAAAGTGCTGTTTTAGAGTGGCCCAAACCTATTTACCTATTTTGTTTTATAAGTAAATTAGAGAGTCTGCAATATGTTATTAATCCAATCAAAAATATTTCTTTTTTTTTCCAACAAATTTGACTTATAAATAAATATTTAAAATCAATTAGGAAAACATGTTATTAAAAATATGTCCCGAATTGATTAATGTGTGTTTTTTTTTGAGGGATCTAAAATTTCCTTTGGCGATAAACTTAATTATAGTCCATTTTCTATGTGAAACAAGATTTTCAGTTTACAATTTAAAAAAAATAAATTTCTGAACAATAAAAGTGGAATAATAATTTCCCCTACAAAGTCAAGCAAATCACATCAAGTATGGAATCGAGTAGTGTCATTTAGGCTACACAATGGTTAAACAAAATCCTAATAAAGACTAGCGTACATATTTAAACCTAACGTACATGGTTAGATTCATTGCTTTTGTGTTTATTTTTGAGATGCGCGTTACATAAAGAGAACAGAGGGTAATATCCATTATTTTTTCTATATTTGAAAAAAGGTAAAGATGATTCACATACTTGACAAGGACCAGATCTGCGACGTCCGTTCGAATGGATCCTTTTTTGTTATCAAGTTCTGTGATGATGGGCCGCATGGATCCCTGTAAAATATATAACTCGATCAAATCAACGTCACACGTCTTAAACTTGCAAACATAATCGAACGGTTCGTATTTAGCATAATATTATTTTGCTTTTGATGAACATTTTTAACGAGAATGAACAATGTGCAGATTTTTTTTCTTAGTGATCAGATTGAAATAAAAAAAAAATAGCCTATTAGTCGTCGTTGAAGATGCAACACCACACATCTCATTTTTCTCGACTTTAAATTAGTCGGTTTCCCGCGCAAATCGAGTTTATGGAACAGTGTGGCCAACTTGATGACTTGGCCATAAAATGGAATATGAGGTGTTGCTACTTAATCGACGAAGCGTTATTACTATTATTATTTTTTTTTTTTTTGAAAGAATAATAAACAATAAAATATGAAATACGAACGGTTCGGCGATGATTGCGTCAAAGACTATATTATTATGTTGTAATAATAATATTAATCTAATGTCTAGTCAAGCCAAGTATTTAATATTGTTTGTTCACGCCACTATATTATATAGTTATGTACGAGACTAGAATATTATGAGTTCTATAAACTATCACAAACAGTATATTATAATAATAGTGTCGAACACACATTTTTTTTTTTTAGTCGTAACACATAATTTCATATAGAATATTATTATGGAAAAAAAAAAAAAGATGCAATGAAGGTACGTTGAGGTTACAATAGGACGTTATATTTTGTTTAGCACGAACGTGTCAGTAGTTTCCATGCTAAATGCTAAGTACATAATATAGATAAAAATTTTAGTCAGAGACAACACAATATCGAGTTTTTACATGCGATGATCCTACGATGAGTCGATCTACAGTAGTGTTATAAGTAAAAAAAAAAAAAAAAAACTATAAAAAAAAAACGAGCCGAGACGTTTTTTTAAAAATATTATATTCATTGTAAACAACTAAAACTACTCAAAGTCGAAAACTATTCGAGTTGATTTCTAGATCATGACTAGCTTTTCGACGGAACTAGAGCATATCTGTTTCCACAACACTAGCAATCATTAGAGCAGTCGTGTAGAGCAATTGTAAGCGATTCGGGCAAAATACAATAATATTATGTGCTTAGACATGACACTTTTTAATGGAAAACCATTTTTCCCCGTTCGTTTACAATCGCCCTAAACTCCATTTAAACGCGCGTTATCACTATTAAAACAGAGCAAATATAATTATCAAGAGTACAGGGACAAAAAGTCGATGAGTGTTTAATTGAAAACTTTGGCTTTCTTTTTTTGTTTGAGACATTTTGACTGTCCACATTTTTCTACCTATCCGCGGATTCCATTATAATTTGTTTAATAGTAAAACGGTAAAAATATTAATTTATAAAAAAAAAAATGCATAAATATGCAGGGTGATTTTTTATCGTGAGCCACTCAATGTCACAATGGGTTTAATTAATAATTACAATTTTTTTTCCATAGTGTTTTTATATAATTTTACCTCGATTTTTCACAAGTTTTTATCTTCCTACCTCCCTGCCAAACTAATTACCTCTATATCAACTTTTGAAACTTAAACGGTGTTACGCATACATTTCATTATCTTTTTTAATTGAGAATATTGTACTACAAATGTTAACTGGTCGGCAACCAGTTTAAGATGTCTGAAGCTATCTTTGAAGTTTCAAGTTTAGCGCAGGAGGAAAAGTGCCTTGTGCACTCTTATAACTTGAAAAATATTTGTTCAGAGACTGGTCCAAATCAACCGACCAAAATTTTCAGTAAAATATTCTTAATTTAAAAAATTAATAAAACTATATACGTTACCGTAGTAAGTTTCAAAAGTTCATATAAAAATAATTCGTTTTTTTTGTGGGAGGGGGGGGTTAAACATTTGTGAGATACTGAGATCACATTATTTAAAAACGCTGTGCAAAAGAAAAATTCAATTACTTACTAAACCGTGGCTCGCGATAAAAAGAAAATCACCCAATATATATAAAACATATGTATTTTATTTTACTTTTTTCCGCTGTACTCTTTCTTTTAAAAACACACTCCAACATAATATTTGTCATTAACAATTTAGGTTACAGTTATTATAATATTATGTTTTACCCTGAAACTCATGGTGCACCCACAAACGTCGGCTACCGGCGAACGCGAGCTAGACTACAATGAGAAGTCACTGTGTCGCGGTCTAGATTTTATTATTAATAATATGATGGTCGTTTTTTCATTGAAAACGATAATCTTTTAATACCGGATTAAACGTCGGTCGCATGCAAATTCGATAAAAATCTTTATCGAGTCTTCTACATACACTTAGTGCGGTATAAAACATTATTGTAATATATTTATATACATACAGGTGGATTCATTAAGGACGAGACATTAATTTTCTCTTAGAAACATTGCAATTTCGTTGTTGTTTTTTTTTAAAGGGGAGGGGAAGACTTTAGCTTAATATGTTATTTTATAATATTAAATATCTTTTTTTTTAGTACTTTCCAGATGGCTGTCAACTTTTGAAACTTCAATGTTAACTATTTTCGGTAATTACATTTAAAAATATTAAAGCTATTAAAGCCCCAGCAGACAAAACGGTAGGAATGTAGTATTGTTATTATCCTCACGCGTTCCAGCCTTAAACTTTAATAACTTTAAAAGTAATTATCCAAAATGGTTGTCGACCAGCGAAATATTCTCAGTTTAAAAAGTCAATTAAATATATTTATAAGTTACCATTTAATTTTCAAAAGTCGATAAAGCTCTGGAAATTACTAAATAACGTGAGTATTTTAGTATTTGTATGATATATTGTAAATAAACATAAACGTTTTTAAAATGAAAAACTAAAAAAAAAAGAATTTGTTTATTTTTAAGAGAAAATGAGTGCCTGTAATCACTCTGTATCACGTCTCGTAGAAGACATTGAAAATATAAGATTGATAAAAAAAAAATCACCACTCCAAATTAATTAATCTCATTATCGTTCTAACTTAACCACTCTTAGCTCGTCATCTCTCCCTCCTTCTGCTTGATTACTATTGTTATACATTTCGGTTATTGATAAAATCTGTAATTATTCATTTTAAACATCAACTGTTGAGTACCTGTAGTACCTGTATACACTTAGTATAGGTACTTTATGAGTATAGATAACATCAAAATATTATAACACAAGTAATGTTGGTGTTTTTTTGAACGGTAAACGCCTAACCTAATCTAACCGATTGTCTTACAAATGCATTTATAGTGCTATTCACAATGCAATTGATGCTCATGTGTGGTTTTGTCGGTAATATTACATAATACAAATACGTATTGTGTGCATTTTACGATGGCCACTTTAGACCATCATAAATACCAACGGATAGGCAATGATAAAAAATAGAAAAAATTCCAATACATTTCTGATTTGCACTCGAACGGGATTAATCGATAACATTTTATTTGGTTTTCCTCAGAATAAAATTTGAGCATAGGTGCAATTGAGCTATAAAATTGCTCTTGGTTTTTTTTTAAGCGTAAGCATTATTTCATTAGGTATTTATTTAGTTTTACAAATGAACGTCCCAAATAATATTCCAAAAACCAGTTTAATGGAACATAATAAATTGTACATCCTTATAAAAATAAACACAACTGTTAAGGAGACAAATTAAAATTAAAATGATATGAAATATATCATAATATTATAATATCATTAAAATGATATTATAATGATAAATAGAATTAAAATGCGCATTAAAATGATTAATTTTCTATTCCGGAGTAAATTAAAAATAATGATTAAGACCTTTGAAAATGGTCTAAGCGAGTTCTTACATTTTTTGTCCACTGATTTTTCGTCTACTCTTTTCGTTTAACAATTTCCTACCTAACGTCTTAATGTACCTAATCTAACCAATCCATCTCGGTCTATACATTTGCTTTCATGTCAAGTCACTTCAGTAGCTCCAAAAAAAAAAATGCACGTATGTTAGTAACCATAAAAAACAAATGTATAACACGTTGTTTTGTCACCAAAATTCAAAAATAAATTTAACACATAATTAAAACCAATTTAGCGACTACAATTTAGAATACTCGAGCATTGCAATTTGCTAAATGGAGGTCTTGAGAGTTTTTAAAAATAAAAAAAACTATTCGTGAGCTCGTTTTAATTGTTCATTTTTTTTCTATACTTTATCTATGCAAATTAAAAAATGAAACTTGCCATCGATGATGTTATTATTATTATTGTTGTGTTCAATTGGTATGTCCTTGACTGACGTTGACCCGCAGACTACACAAGACAGCAGAAAATGAAGATGGCATTTTTTTTTTTATAACGCAAAGGAAGGGAAGAAAATTCGACGAATACGATTGCAAAAATTAGCAACAATTACGAGGGGACAATATTGTACATACGGACAACATGTTCTGGGAATTAAAATTAATTACCATTATCGTTTAAAAGACACAATACAACTTTTAATTAAAAATAATTCCTTCAATTAATTATCTTCTGTGCGGCCGAAACGCGTCACAGGCCCTCGACATATAAGTTCTTGTACTAATTTTTTTTTTTTTTACCAACAATAATAGCATTATTTTTTTAAATTTACTGGTATGAAACTTCAAGTAAAAATGTATAATAATACTTGACCCATATAGCTCATCGACAGCTAGTCTAGTTACTACAGGGTTGATTCTTTTAACGCCCTACACCAATTTTCTCTTAAAATAATAGATATCTTGTCGTTTTTCTTGTTTATATTTTCCTTTATGTTTTTATTACAGTATTGGAAAATATTCAAATTTATATCGTTTTAATATAGGGTAGAGTTTTATCAACTTTTAAAACTTTAATAGTAATATTATATATCTTATTAACTTTTTTAATTAAGAATAAGTCAGTGACAATTTTGACTGGTCGATAACCAGTTTTGAATAAATAATTTTAAAGTTTAAACTTAAGGACGGGAGGTGGAGTTTGATTGAGTAATTCGTGCAGGTAAAAACAACATTAGCCAATACTAAAAATGATA